TAAGTCTTTGGTATTCCAAAGATTCAGATTTTACTCTTACTGGTTATTCTAATGCTGATCTCGCTGGATGTAAAGTGGACAGGAAAAGTACTACAGGTACATGTCAATTACTTGGGAATATGTTGGTATCCTGGTACTCAAAGAAGCAAAATATAGTTGCACTTTCTACAGCAGAAGCAGAATATGTAGCTTTGGGAAGTTGCTGTACACAGATTCTGTGGATGAAACAACAGTTGCGAGACTATGCTATTGAAGATTCAAGTGTTGCAATCAAATATAACAACACAAGTGCTATCAATTTGACCAAGAACCCTATTCTTCATTCACGTGCTAAGCATATTGAAATCAAGCATCATTTTATTCGAGATCATGTTCAAAATGGTGATGTGAATATTCAATTCATTGATTCTAAGAATCAATTAGCTGATATATTCACAAAACCTCTTGAAAAATCTTCATTTGAGTTCATAAGAAACAAACTGTGCATCACTTATCCATTTTCGTGAAGTGTTTGATAGACAGGAATTTTTCAGACTCAAATATTCTCAGTCTGAACATTTTTCAGACTCACAAAGAAAGGTACGTCCTTTATTCAAATTTTGGCGGGTATATTTTTGGCATTTTTGGCAGGATATTTTCATAATCGATACTTTAGGAAGCAAATCAGGTACATATTCTAATTTATCTGATTAATTGTGCTTAATATATTATCATGCGTGTTTGTGCTTCAAAAAGTATATTTCCTTCCTACATATTCGGGTTTACTTTTTATACTTTCTAAAAATAAGTTTTTCCTTCCAAAACCTATCCTCCTCCTTTATAAACCCGTCCTTTTCTTTTCAAAACCCTATCGTACGAACTTTTCCTCTCCAAAACCTATCGATATTCAGAATCGCCTTCTTCTCTTCTTTCTTAAAAAATCTAATCTTTTCACTCCAAAAGTGATCAAAATGCCGTTCAAGATGGTGGCCCGTCGAAGATCTTCACGTATTCTCAACCAAGATTCCAAGTCTTCATCATCGGCAGAGTATATGGATATTTCAAACTCAGATTCCGACCATCATGAAGACCCTTCTGAAGCGACACCACCTCAGCGATCGTCGCCACCCAAAACAACGGGTAAAATAGATTTTCGTTTTAAAAGTATCAAGCTTGTATAGAAAGTTTATCAGAGGTTGAAGAGAAGCAATGCCTCTGAATCGGTTCTACGTGACTGTCTTAAAGACAATGGGTTCCTCTCTGAAGAACATCTTACGGAAAACTACTCTAAGGTTTGTCCTAACACTGACTATGTTCCGGCCAGCTCTACCCCAAAAGAGCATTCTTCCAGAAAGGGCAAGGAGAAAGTCGGAGAATCATCCACTCCTTCTGAAAAGAAATCTGTTCCTATAAGCCCTAAGTCCACAAGTGCCTCAAAATTTGTTGTTCCTGATGATGACGCTCGATTTTTTGATATTTTTGAAATGAAGGTGGGAATAGCATCTGGTGTGCCAGGTACAGGAGGATTATTCAGAAGTACTGAGCATAATGTTTGTTATAAGTTGTTACTTGCTCGAGGGGTCATGAATAATAAGACTGTGGATTTCGACTACCTAGAAAAGGTTGGCATTTCAGTAAAGCACCTGTTTGAGAATTTAGGGATTTATCAATTTTGTCTTCAATCTGCCAATGTTTATGCTGAATTAACTGCCTACTTCTATTCCAATCTTTCAATTCTGTCACCCAATTGGATTCAGTTCACTGTTGGTGACAAGAAGATTGACTTAAAAGATTGTCCAGACGATCTGTGATCTTGCATAAGATCATAATCAACTATTTGAAGCCCAAAGCTGCCTCAAAAACTGACTTATCAAAATCAGAAATCAAGCTCATTTGGGCTATCTTAAAAGGTCAATCCTTCTCTCTCCCTCACATCATCATATTCCATATGTACAGAGTATTACAGAAGGACAAGGGTCAACTTCCATATGGTGCACTTATCACTAGAATCTTCATGTTTTTAAGGATATCTATTCCTGATGAGTTGCGCGAAACCATTATACCTTGTATGTTTGTTGGAGAAAGAATGCTTTCCAAAATGAAGCAGTTTGATGATGTAAAAGAAAGAGTAAGAGGAAAAGAGGCTCAACAGTCGGAGGCAAAATCTGTTGGAAAGAAAATTGAGAAAGAAAAAGAGCAAAGGAAAAGAACAAGTTCAGCCAGCAAGCAGCCTGATTCTCCTACCCCAATCAAAGTGTACAACAAGAAACGACGAATTCTTCTGCATGATGAAAATGATGAAGCAGAAGCAGAGCACTTTGAAACAGGAGGCCAAGAACATGTTCCTGAACCAACTTCAAAGGCTTTAGAATCAGTTCCTGAAGAACATGTTTCTGAAGATCCAGCACCTGTTCAGGGGGAGAATCAACCAGAATCAGCCACAGGGTACAATTAGTCTGAGGAAGCTAATGTCCAAGATCAGCCATCTGAAAATCAGAACATCCTCTCTATTCTGCTCGAGATTAAAGAAAAGCAAGCTGCTCTAGAAAAAGATACGAAGAATCTACAGAGAATTGTTGAGGAAAACAACAAGACTCAACGACTTCAGGCAGCAGCAGATAAAGCAGAACTTGAGGAAACCATTGCCATGTGCTCATCCAACATGGATAAGGCTATAGGTCAATGCAGTTCGAAGATTGAGGAGGCTGTCTTTATTTTGGACAATTTTCAACTCATTCGTACCCCTTCTAAAAAATAGCCAGCTTTTTAACATTTCTCTTCAAATCATCTATTTTTCATTTGGTCTGTAATATTTCTAATAATCCTTGTTAGGCTGTTTTGATTACTTAATATCAATGATTTATTCTCTCTATCATTATTATTTTTGCTGATGAAAAAAAGGGGGAGAAATTATATGCAGATTTGCAAGTTATATACAAAGGAAGAAAAAGACACAGATATCAACAGAATTTGCTCTTTCAATATGTGCTTCATGAGCTTAATATGTTTATTTACTTTCAAATCAATTTCAAAATAATTCAATCTGCAGGAAAGTTTTGTCACCATAAAAAAGGGGGAGATTGTTGAGGAAAACTCCTATTGATTTTGAAGTTGACAAAACCTTCCATGTTATTGTAAATCTGATACTTATTCTGAACTAACTTATTCTAGGTATGTATACTCTGGAAGCTCAGAAGGAAGTTATTCAGACTTTACAAGCTGGCAAATACCTTATTGAAGACCTACATAATCTTAGTTCTGAAGATTCAGACGAAGAAATTATTCAGAAGCAGACGCAGAAGTTCTTCAGACGCAGACGCAGAAGTTCTTCAGATGCGACGAGAATTTCTTCGACCTTAGAGTCGAACGAAACAAAACGACTAGTGATCGGTATGGATTTCACGAAGGAAAGTTTTGATTGTTTCAATCTAAGGCTATAATTGATTGACAATCAAACACTACGACAAGTATGCATTACAACGGATAAAGCTTTACTTATGGAAATCAAGATTCTAATTATATGGGCGACCAGAATCAGCGGGATTAAGAATCTGTCATCCAACGGCTACTCAATCATTTTTATACAAATCTGTCTAAGGTGAAGATTGGAAGATGATCCTCTGAATGCTGTCCAACGGCTAGTTTGGAAGTAGAGGAGTATTTAAGGAGATCAACGAGCAGCAGAAGGAAGTACAGAATCAAGAATCATCAAGTCCAAAGTCTGAGCATATTCCGATCATTTCTCTTGTCTTTCTGAGCCAAACATTAAGATCTTGAGGGACACTTTGTAAGAGTGATTGTGTGAGATAAAGAGTCCTATCATACACAAGAGTGCTAACACTCAGAAGTTGTAATTCCTCTTGATTACATAGTGAAATCCAACCAGTAGACTGTAAGCGTGGGAGAGTGGACGTAGGCTTGCTATAAGCCGAACCACTATAAACTTGTGTGCAGTTTTTCTTTCCCTCATCTCTTACTTTACATTCTGCACATTAAGAGCACCGTCTATACAATCTGTCTTGAATCTGAATTTTATTCAGACTCTTCTGTGATTTGTTTTGTTTCCGCATAAATTATCAAAAGTTGTCTAAGATCACCTATTCACCCCCCTCTAGGTGATCCTTGCTAGCTACATCACGTTTTTCCTATTGCATTGTAGATTTTGTATCGGATAGGTTAGACCTCGGAGTCGGAGTTCTCCAACAAAGGCATGGGACAAGTAGCGTATGATATTTGATTACCAAACTAAAATTCCTGGCTTCCATGACCCAGTGGTCTGGATCGTTACTGATTTCTAGAACATTGATAATCTGTACAATGGCTTTGGGAAACCGAAGGGATGGGGTCCTAGAGGACAAAATGAGTACCTGGTTATTCCGGAGAATTTATTGATTAAATTTGTAGGGTTAATATTGGTGCTGTTACTTGGGGAGCCTGATCTTTGCATAACGTTGGCTGATTCAGATAATTTCTTCCTTCTTTAGTCTTGCCTTGTTGGGTGTACTGGAGCTTGACTGTTTTCCTGTTGGAGCCCACGCTTTGAGCTCATTGTGTTTGCTTCAGTTTGCATTATGTTTAGTATGTTTGAAACCTCTGTCTGAGTTCCAGGGGATCTGTTAGATTTGTTTTATCACTGAGGGTTGACTATAGATTGCCATTCACTCCTGTACAAAGGCTTCAACTAGATAGCATTGTTCTCTGTATCACCATGTGCAGTGTTCCATTTATTCTGTTTCATTTTCTTTTGGAAGCGAATTGTAATTAGCAGCCTTCTCTCTGGTGAAGAGAGTTTAAAAGAAGGGTATAGACACGATGACAAGAGCATAGAAATACTAATTATGTGCTTGGCTAAAATTTCTGGACATTGAATACCAAAGTTTAATGCATTTGGCACCTTTCTCTGAAGAAAGATTACCCATAGGCTCTCCTATTATCATGGTTGTAGGTTTGGGTGGGATCTGATATCAGAGTGGTTTTCTTTACTCAGGATTTGTGCTGTTTCTGTCTTTGATGATTGATAGATTGCACCATTACAAAAGAGAACTTCGCTTGCTCAGAAAGACCATGGAGACAGCCAAAAAACAGGTTTAGGCATTGACCAGGGGGAAAATGGCAGTGCAGAGGTCAGAGGCTAAAAGGAAGAGATTGCCACCCTGAGGACAAAAGCGAAGAACCTGGAAAATGAATACGAGACAAAGGATAAGGAAGCCAAGACAGCTGAAGCTGAAACCAATGCTCTAAAGAAACAATCTGAAGGCTTACTAGAGTATGATCATCTGCTTGCAGACAACCAAAGCCTTCGAAGTCAGTTGGAGTCTATTGATCACTCCTTGTCCAATTCTGACGGCAAGAAGAACACCTAACGAAGAGTTTTGCTGAGCGGGCGAGTTCTTGATCTTGTTTCATGAGTGCTTTCTGATATAGATATTGTTTTTAGCGTGGAAGACCGGATGGCTGTCGTGTTGAATGTACAAAGAAAAGAGCAAAACCTTGCAATGAGTTCTGGAAACTTGTTTTAGGACGGAAATCAGGTTTGTACTAGGTACTTGTCGATCATTCCTTATATATTTAATCAGTATAGCCAGGCAGCAAATGGGAATCTCAGTTTCGCTTGATCCATAATACTGAGTCTATCCAAGTTTCCCGCTAATAGTTGACTTACATACTACTTTCAATTTGATCTTCTTGAGTACTATCAAGGCTTCACAGAACTGTTCATTTTATGGTGCCTCCTAGTATCCTTGAAGTTCCCGTTCTCTCTGACTTGTTCACCCTTTATCAAGGTCCATCAAGTCTCTACGAGACTTTTTAGTTTGTACTTCGAATTACATCAACGCGATAGAGCATCCTTTATATCACGTTACCCGAAATAAAACAATGTCTACAACATCTGCATTTATCGAATAATAATGAGAAGTTGATGGTTTTGTCAACTTCAAAATATCATAAGAGATTTTCGCAATATAATTTAGAGCAAAAAAAGTGGATGTTAACCACAAGTAATGCTCTAGTTAGGATAGCTCGATTCTAACTATAAAGGATGCATTTAGTCGATATTAACTACCCAGATGAGATGATTCCGCAATTCCGAGTATCTTATGTCTCTCGCCTAAAATAATTTCTTCCCCTTGGACTATCTGATGACTCTGGAAGAACAGAAACAGTGAAGTTCTTGGAGAAGGTACATTTGCCAAGGACACTGCCGCGAGAGATTGCAGCGAAGCGGCTGAATATTGGAGCTGTTTGACCAAACCCCATGCCTTAAAAGAAGGCAGGGAGGCCTAATGAGAACTGGCCCCCATCCTAGACCTGGTTGGATCAAGCTTAATACCGATGGCTCAGTGCGGGGTAATCCTGGCATTGGGGGTGCTGGGAGTGTTTTCCGCGATCATCTCGGTAAAAGTATCGGTGGTTTCTCCCGCAATATTCGCATTACTTCGTCTGTTCTTGCGGAGCTACGGATCCACCGAGACGGGCTCTGTATTGCCGTCGACAACACTGTGTAGAGACACTCCCTGTAGAGATGGATGCCTCGGCTGTCGGCCACGTAATGGGTAAGGCTAATATCAACAATGTCAATCTAATGAAAATTGTTAACGTGTCCAGGTCGTTGGTAGCTCAACTTCCGGAAGCTCAGACTCAGCAAAGGCACTGTGAGATGACTAGATGTACAGAGCTTTTATAGCTATAAATGATAGAGACCAGCCGGACTTTGTTGTAGACACTGCTAGGAAAGAAATGCCTAAGGACACGTCTGTTTTCATCTCAGATTTCCGTAGGGAGCACCACTTGAGTGTTGGCAACCTGTTTTCGGCCATTCCGTAATGGCTAAATCAGAACGCGTATTCAATCATCGACCCTCCTCATCATTCACGTTATGGTTTTTGTCGGTCATCGTGAGGTTGGGATCGCCTCGCGCGGACGATGACACTTGTGTCGGAGCTAAGATACGACGCCTGTCGAATGACCGTTTCTTCATGAGCTCTACATCCGAGACGCATCGCGTGGTACGATTTCTACGAAGAAAAAAGAAATCGATGGCTATATGTATAGGCCTCGTAGAAGTATATGGAGATTGAATTAAAAGTAATTATGTCATTAAGGGCCGCAAAAGTATATGGTCACTGTTCCTAATCGCAAAACCAATTTCCCCGCAATCCCATGCCCCAAAAGCATGTCTACTCATTGCTCCATTTAACGCCTCACCGCCGACCTTCCCACCAACCGCGTCCACTTCCGACCAACCATTTGAACCCGCCGGTCCATCGTTCTCCACGTCGTCGTCGACGCATCCCCTGACGTGGATCCAGTCCTCACCGTCGTCGTCGTGGTCCCGCGTCCACCTGGGCCCTGCTGAGCCCACCGACAGCCGCCTGATCCTGTCGCCTGCCGCCGCGTCCCCCTCGTGCGCGCCGGCCGTGCCCGTCGTCTCCAACACTTCGGCCCGACTCCAGAGCCCTCGATCGAGGACGCTCGTCGGAGAAGCCGAAGCGCTCGATTCCCATTCCTGAACTTGCTTCGCGTCGCGAACGTGCAATTCGGACTTGAATTCTCCGAGGAGGAACGGGTGCTCCAGAAGCTGACGGGGCGTCCACCGCTCTCCCGGGTCCCTTCTCAGGCACTTCCCCAGGAAATCCCTCGCTTCCTCCGACAGCCACCCCGGAATCTCCGGCGACTCGCCGGAGTACGCTATCCTGTAGAGGACCGAAGCCGGGTCTCCCCCGCTCCACGGCGCTCCTCCGGTGGCCATCTCAACGGCCGTGCACCCGAGTGCCCACACGTCGCAGGCGTGCCCCTGCTCCTCCCCCCTCGCGACCTCCGGCGACATGTACATCGGAGTGCCGCCGAACGGCGACCCCGCCGCCGACGGGTCATCCACCCGCCTCGCGCACCCTAAGTCGGCGAGCTTCGGGCCGTCTTCGTCGATCAGGATGTTGCTGCCCTTCACGTCGCAATGCGCGATGCCTCGCGAGTGCAGGTGCTCGAGCCCCTCCAGAATCTGGCGGGTGTAGCGCGCGATCGTCGGCTGGCTGAGCCTGCCTCCGAGTTTCCGAGTCAGGTCAGCGAGTGTGCCTCCGGGCACGAACTCCATGAAGAGGTTGTACATCAGCTTGTTATTTCCCTCTCCGGTGACGTCGAAGCCTCTGTACCCGACTATGCGAGGGCAGGCCAAAGAAGAGAGGATCCGCTGCTCCCTCTGGAGGGACGCCGACGACCCCAGCTCGGCAGACTTCACGGCGAAGACCTCGCCGGACTCGGCCGAGGTGGCGAGCGAGACGACGGCGGTGGAGCCGTGGCCGACGGTGCGGCCTCTGGTCCACTCCATTGCGGGGTTCAAAGAATTGTAGAAACAGGGTCGTGGTTTGCGTGAGAGCTTTAGCAGTCCGCGTTGAATGATTGTGAACAGAGTGGCGTTCGTATATATATATAGAGGAGGCCCTTTGAAAAGAACGAAACTTTTTCAACGTGTTGAAACGAGTTTTGGGTTGACAGCTTTGGCCGATTGGGACGGCGATGGCATGGCGAAATGGGTGCGCGACATGTGTAAGATGGTTGGGGGGCGTTAAAAATTTATGGGTGGCGGGCATTGCGTGGGCACCCGGACCATGAGAGAGTCTAGTTCACATGAACTGTTAAATGAGATGAGAACTACGTGACACTAACATAATTATATAATCAATCCGAATTTAGCGCATATGACTGGGATGCAGGAAATATATTCCGAGTTTGGTACGAGTGAGAAAGGGATGGATCGATATGGATAAAACGCACACTTGGATGCTTCATATTGTTTGAGAGCGAGACTTGTAGCTTGCAAGAGGATTCGTATTTGGATTAGGGAGCAGATGGGTTGAACCACCAAAAAGAGAAGACCACATGGGTTGATTTGGAGCATCTTGGTAAGTTACCCGATCACACAATACAATAGTCAAAGAACTCGATATAGAAGTCTTCGGGCTGTGGAGAGGAGATGCAAAAGTGAATATTGGAATTTCGTCAAAAGTCAGCACAATTAGGGGAGGGGCAAAATACAAAGAAATCGCCACTTGGATAGAAAGTTAGGTGCACCTCATAACAAGAATCAGGTCGATGTTTCGGACACTTGGACTAGAAAGACCTTAAGTTATCCAAAGTCAGTAGCACCACCATTTGCGTTCGGTTCATACTTTTCGAATTTGACCCTTGGAAAAAAAGGAGAACATGCCCACCTGGCATAGATTAGCACACAGATTGCAATACCCAATTGAGAAGAAAACCATAATCCCACGTCCATATCTTGTGTATAAAGCTTAGCACAGAGTACCCTACGTGAGGGATTAGGACTTAGGAGTGATCTGTGAATTGCCAAGTGTCTGATGCTTTTTGTGTTACGTGTGAGGTTTCATTACTTGAACGCTCGGTGCTTGGTTACCTGCGAGTGAGGTCGAAGTAATCCTCCGCACCAAGCAATTGCCCCTCTCTTCCTGCATCATACAGAGCTGTCCGTTTTCTAGTTAGTAGTCTGGATACAAAGTGTGATTGAACGTTCGATGTTTTTCCCCCTCCATTTGCCGTAAAATCATTGCTTGACATCACTTGGAGAGACACATGGCAATCGCAATCTTATACGCATACACGCCCAATTGCTTCGTCTTCCTGAACATTGAAACCAAGACTCTGATCTTATCAGTCCTATACGCGTACATGCATATACACATACACACCCAGTTGCTTCATCTTCCTAAACATTGAAACCAAGATTATAATCTCATCATCTCTCTGTAACCCAATTGTTTGTTCATACGTTTATGTGGAGGGAGAATACATATATATATATATGGCACGTGGAATTTGGCTAATAGGGGGTGGACATACATCAGCGAAAGGAATAGCACTGACCAGGCATCGTACGTGCTATTTCGTGGCTAAGGATTTATCGGCCAGTGTACCTCTGGTCAACCCAATACTGCATGCATATAAAGAGCATGTGATGTGAGACGATATTTCAATAAGAACTGTGATGAGATAATATCTTAGGTTCCGTTAGCTGGACCGACGAAACGGTGCGATGAGAATTAGATGGGGACCGTTGAGTTTTGGGGGGTGTACGATGCGTGGCTTGGAAGACAGACAATTGACAAGAGTAGCTTTCACCAAACGCATCTCACGTGGACTCTCCGTGGCTTCTCGTCTCTTGGCCTTTCGCGTATTGAAGGCAAAACGGTGTGTCGGGCCCACGAACGATCGAACCCACCCAAACCCATCAGGCTACGGTGCCACGTGTACCTTGAAGTTCAGTGAGCCAAGACATCCAGCGAAGCACGTTTTTATTGCATACAGAGCATTTGAACTCTTTTCCTTTGATCCATTTTTTCCGACCGACCTTGCAAATATTTGGTCAGCCGCCGCGGTGGTGGTAGAGCCAGAAAAAAGGATGCATTGAATGTCGCTGGAGGACCTGCAGATAGAAAGGATCGATGACAATGAGAGTACGAAACGTGCGTGGAGCCTCCTGACAACTCTGTAAAACGATCTCTAAAACGTCCCTTAATCGAGTTTCTATCGAGTGTTGTTGTTTCCGGTTTTGATTAGGTGAAGGGAAAGAGTTAAATTAAGGGTGCTCGACTGTCGCTATCACTAGACTCTTCCTTCTCTGGTGGTGTTGGGTTCATTCATTGCCCGCCGAACTAAGGGTGCGCAAACAGGACCGCCCGAATCGGAAATCGCCCGGACAGGACCGGACTGACCGGTGCGGTCCAGTTCTCGGGAGTGTTAGTCCGGTTCTCGGTTCCAAAAAATGAAACCAGTGTCTGGGCGGTCCGGTTACCGGTTCCAAGGTGAGAACCGGACCGCTTGGACCGGATCGACTAATATATATGCACGCGTGAGCTACATTCTTTTTTTAGATGTTTTGGCTTTTGCTGTTTAGACATTAAAATGATGTCAGCATATATCTTCATTCCTTTTGAGCATGCTGATATCATGTATGATTTGGGAAATCTCACCATGTTTAGTTGGGGAATTTAAACATTGATCGGTTCCATTGGACCGGACCGGGAACCGATCACCCCTACGCCGAATGAGCTCAATGCCCGTTCGTCGAATTTGTCCGTGAACTTCCACTGCATCTTTCAATAAATTCTATCACCCAATAGTCGATACTCAATGCCGAATAATGAACAACGTGGAACAAACCGTCGTTAGAACTATGCTCATGTCATCGTCTCTTGGACACATGCTGAGTATGCTTGATGTCAATTGGGTTTCAAGCATCGAATCTCATGATCACGACTTTTACCCGCTGTTGAAAATGCTTCCAGAATGTTTAGCATGAACAACAAACATTTTTCAGGTGAGCTGAGAGAACCTCATGCATCAGCTGATGATGATGCTTGAAGATCAAGTTCCTCCACGAGAATCTTTCTGCTTTTCATTGCTGACGAAAGACTCCACCGGCCTAGTGAGGGCTCTGGGGGTGTTTGGTTCAGCTTTGGGAAGGGGCTTTGAGTCTCGAAAGCCCCTTCCCAAAATGCTGGAATGTTTGGTTCAACATTTGGCTTAGCATTGGCCAAATGCTAGCATTCCACGAATGCCACTGTTCACTCTTTTTTTTTTTTTTGAAGCTGTTGTTCTTCTTCGGCGAGGGTGGCAGACGAGGGTGGCCGGCGAAGGTGGCCGGCGAGGGAGAAGGGCCGGCAAGGTCGCCTGGGGTCGGGCGACCGCCCAGGCGACGCCGTCGCTGGGGTCGCTCGACCCACGCGCGACCTCGGGCGACGGCCGCCTGGGTCGCGCGACCCGGGCGACGGCGCCTGAGGTCGCGCGACCCGGGCGACGGCGCCTAAGGTCGCGCGACTCAGCGACCGCTTGGGTCCCGCGACCCTCACCGAGGGTCGTCTGGCCTCGGGCGACGGCCGCCGACCCCAGATCTGGCCCGCTGGCTGTTGCCCGACCTCAGGCGACGGCCGTCGGCGCCAGATCTGGCCCGCCGGCGGCCGGCCAGCGCCGGCTCCGGCGAAGGGTACTAAGACTGTGTTCGTTTGCGGAAAAATATTTTTCCGGAAAATAATTTCCGAGTTTTTCGGTGTTCGGGGGCGGAAAATATTTTTCGTGGGAAAACATTTTCCTTCCCCACCCCCAAATCCTTCATTGTTTTGAGGAAAATGATTTCCTCTTTTCACAAAGAGAAAATCATTTTCCCCCAAATTGAAGGCAAAATTGCCCATGGGAGGGAAAATATTTTCCGTGGGAGAGGAAGTTGATTGCCGGCCGTCCGCCGCCGGCCACCGGTCGCCGGCCGTCCGCCGCGGCGGTCGCCGGCCGTCCGCCGCCGCCGGTCGCCGGCCGCCGCCGCCGCCGGTAAAAAATATTTTCCGAAACTTTTTCATATTGATCGCCGAACACCGGAAAATTATGTTCCGAAAAAACATTTTCCAGGAAAATGACTTCCGGGAAAGTATTTTCCAAAAGGAGAATATTTTCCGCCAAACGAACGGAGCCTAAGTTAGGTTTTTTTATTCCCAAAGTCCATTTGCAAAAAAAAATCACCAAACACAATATTTTGACCAAAGTAACTTTACAAAATATTTTTACCAAATACCATTTACATTGCTCCAATTGACTTTCACCCAAAGGTATTTACATTCTCCCAAATAGCATTTTCAAAGTTGAACTAAACAGGCCCTTTGTCCTCTCCTTTTTGCTAGAACCAGGTGACTGGTGAGTCGGATAAATTTTCGGAATTTCAAATTACTAAGCATTTACATAAGATTCATCCGAGCCACCGACAGGAACTCCTTTCTTTCTTCATTCAGTAAAAAAGAGGCATCACTTTCTGGGTTATATGTTTTTATACAAGGACCAGAATCTAGGATGCCATTAGTTTTACAAAGAGTCATAGAAGACGAGTTGTACACGCCCATAAACTATTATACAGGAGTGTAGAGACAGAAGATGTTTCGTGTCGTGTCCATGAACTATATAATACATGTGTAGAGATAAGATGAGACGTGGCAGTGCAGTAAAGAAAAGTCTCAATCCGTTCACGCTGCTTCGGCGAATCCGACTTGCATATTCCCGTAGTCGAACACCGTGTGATACCGGCCCATGAAGACGTCTCCCAAGATCCTGCATCAGAAAAGCGACACTAGTTTAGTCCCTGTTAAGTTGCAGCAAATATTTGATGGCTTGTGATAAGCAGTGACCCGTGAAACTGAACTATAACTATGACGCCAAATGAACGAATATGGTGTCCAAATGTTGGTCATGATGTGGAATGACTGTTTGAAACACTAGAAAGATTTAGGGTAAAAAATCAGACGGCAATTGTCAGAAAGATGTTGAAGTTAAATAAGAGTATACCAGAGAGGTCCACGAGGTGGCGCCACGTCTAGAGCGATGAATCCACTGACGCACTGAGCGGCAAGTCCCTCCCCGACTTTAAGCACATACTGGGGCAATGACACCACCATCCAAAAGTATATGAACGAATAAAAATCACGTAAATTGCATAGGAATGGGAATGAAACATCGCAAGCTATAGATGCAACATCTATAAACTACGGACAAATACACGGCGAAATGCTTTTACAGTCAGCTTCAATAACGTACCTCTTCTGGGGCAAGATCAAATACTTTACCACCAATTGTGAAAGAAACGCTGGGTAGAGAAGATAGATCACCACAGTCAACCACTGATTCTCCCATTGGACTCGGCAGACGATCACACAGCTGCAAAGTGCAATTGGCATTGAAAAGATGAGTTTCATGTGAGGCCCAGCTTTCTCTAGGAATAGTCATGATCGAAGCTGATTACCTGGTTGACGTAATCCAAGATTTGTTCTTCCGTTTGATTTTTCCTCAGCTGGTTCTGCATCCAAACAACTGCCATTTCACAAGCAGTACACATTCCATCACGCAGACCACCTGATGACTTGTGCTCATTCTCGTCCACCACGCTCTCAATCCCCATCCTGCACAAACATGGTCATGATAGTGGCTCAAAGAATCTATAACTATACGGTTTTCTAAGTCGTCAAAAAAGGAATGTTACTATTTTCTCATACTGTTGTTTCCCACTAGGAGGGGAGAAAAAGGCAAACTGACCTAACGCCACGAGTCCCATCAAATGTACAGAAGCCCATTTGAGAACAGATTTTCTGCGGTTGTGCCTACAAAATTTCAGCGAGAACAACATATGATATACCCCGTGAGGCACATTAAGCAGAAACAGAACAAAAGCTTGATTAAAAAGAACTTCAAAAGGTTTTACCTCGGCTAACAACATCTCCAGGATGGTTTTACCATATTGGCCAACCACCATCTTGCATTCTTGGCTTACCACGCCAGATGCTCCTATGGCATGGTTGATTTGGGTTATCACAGTCTGAAAATTCCACTTAATGTCAGAACAGAGAAGTACTTCTAGAAGGTTACCACTTTAATATAAAAATGATGTGCAAAAACTGTAAAGCCATGCTCAAAAATAGGTACAGTTGGTTGAAGACAAGCTACAAGAAGAAAAAAAGAATTGCACAACATGGAGGGTCTCCATCATTCACAGATAAAAAGAAAATTCTACGCTTTATTCCTGATTATATTAAGTGTTTCGCGGATGGAAAGGAATGAAGCTTTTCACATTGAAAATTTAGGCTAGATGAAACAGACCCCTAAAATATCAAAATATTGGTAAATATTTTGAAATTGTCAAAGTATGATGTTACTGACAAGTTCAACCCCTCGCCAATACAACTTGTGAATATTATTAACTACAGTATAGGATAAGTAAGAAATTCAGTGAATCCTTTTGATTACATTTTTAGTCTTGTAGTAATACTCTTTGTTAGAACAAGATAACAAAAGGCCTAGAAACCAAGGAACTAAACAGCTCCCATGTAGTACTAACGAAGATGAACGGAAAAACTTGTAAATAGTAGTACTAACGTTCTGCGCTAGGCACGACTACCACTCAAAAAAGTCATCGAAAGGTACTAATTCTAGAAAGAGAGGTTCTATGCTATATGAAGCTTATATATTGGATTAAATCCAAAACCAAAAGTGCTTCACAGGGGTATTGCCGCACAAACGCAGGAGAGACCAGATTTTTCAATGACAGCCTCAGGCAATAACGATTTCTTTTCGCAAACAAACAAAAACAACTGACAGATATTGCATAAATTCCACAAGAAATACAGTTTCATTCACCATGATTACCAGCTATGCAGCTGTTTAACATTTAATTAAGGGTTTTATAGGAGAAAGGGAAAACAAAGTTCTGCTGTTAAAAGTACATACTGTAGGGCCTGCCAACAAGGATGTTCCGGAATCAGCAATTGCTGAACAACCACCGCCGCAAAATCCTGCAAAAGAAGTAACCGGATCTCAATACCCTAAAAGGAGGAGAACGAGAAAGTAAATGAAGGAGACGCGAGCAAAACAACGCAGGAATACCAGTCGTTTCACCATCAATCAGCACATCACCCATGTCAAACTGCCAAGAGGATGTAAGTATGAATGAATTTAAATGAAACAGTTGATAAGAAAGCAACAGAAGTAAGCCATGCAAACTGTTACAAGGACTAGTTGGACTTATAAATATTTACCTGCCAGTAGCCTTTCTGTGTCACGGGAACATATGTATGCTCACCCTTGTAGTGACTAGAATCAACCCCACCAAACACAAGCTCACCACCTTCTTCCCCTTTAGTGTTTCGGTTTAGCCAAAATGAGAAAACAGGCTCCGGAACAAGACCCTGATTGACCATGTTATACCTGTGAATTTGACCGAAAACAAGATATTTAATCCAGCACTTGGCACAGAGAGATAGACAGATATGGAAAAGGTGGAATTTATTAACCTGTCCAAAAGCTTAGCATCTCAAGTGTTTGAATATTTAAATACATCAAGATAAAACTGTGATGTAAGATAAGACTGTAACTTGTAGGCGTTACACGCTCTCCAAAAGCTTAGGAAATTACATACAATACCGTCATGTAAATAGGCTTGCAAGTGTAATTCCATTGTTGTAAAGTGCTGACTTACCAGACTGGAACTGCCTTCCCAACTGATATCTCTTGAAAACCAAGCCCCAGTAGGCCATCAAACTTTGCAGCCACGAATGCGATGCCAGGCTCTTTGGTTGCCTCAATAAATTCCTATATGGTGGTAGTAGAAAAGGCATCATTGTACAATCTATTTGACATTATATATAAGAAGCAAATTGCAGAAACTAATACCTGCTTCTTGACAACAAGATCGCCAACTTTCACATTATCCTGGCTAAAGAATCCCGAAATCGCTCCAGATCCATAATGGATATCAGCAGATTTTCCTGCATTATTCACAAAGATATCCTCACTCTGCAGTACTATTTGAATTGCATATCCATGAAATGATAGGAACTACTCATTTAGAACTTCAAAACTATGTCTATGAGTGGGTCGCAGGCAAATCTATCCTACTATTTAAGAGTATAAAAGAAGAGAGAGATTAAGAAAGCCAAAAATAACATCACTTGGAAGTTGATGTATTTCAGTAAAAACAGCCAAATTAGCACTCTAGACAAAGCAAACAGATTTTAGGGATGAGAACAACTACCGTTCTTCTTGTAGGTACTTGATTCACTTGACTTGTACTTAGAATGCAAATAGCATGCAATCTGCAATAAAAGTTTTCAAATAGATAGTACAAGATGGATTAGCAACAAACTCAAAAAAAAAACTATAGCCCACTTAAGTTCTCTCCAGACAAATGATCTAAAACTAGGAGACTAACCGAGAAGTAACACTTTGAAGAGGGCACCCAAAGATTAGAGCTCCCTGTGTCAAATATCACAGTGAACTTTTGGGATGGGGTTCCAATCCCAATCTCGCCATAGTACTGAGCATCCATGTAATTCTTCAGTGATACGATATCAGTGTCCTCGGAGTCGCCATTATAACCATGGAACTTGTACTTCCTCCCAAGCCGCCCCAGAGCCCCTCTTTCCTTGGAAAATCTCTGTCCTGTGACGCGGTTGAGTTGGTCCAACTTCCTCTTCTTCAGTCCAACCCTGATCAGCCCATCATTGGACGAAGAAAACACGGCAGGCGACAAGAGCAACAAAAGGAAGGCAGCAGCCAGAGCGGCTCCAGATTTGGTACCCATGGTAAAACTGCAAAATTCAACGACCCGCAACTCAGAAAAATAATTACCAAAGGAAGCATGTAAGCTCAAAACGATCATGTCTGTTTGAATCACAACAGAAAGCTTAAGACTTTATGTAGACAACGATTTCTGTCTGAAGAAAAAAGAAAAGAATATTCATTTCAGTCTGATCAAGTCGCGAGGCAGAAAGCTTAAGACTTTATTAGTCTCTTGATAATTTTTCCGAAGGGGGGATACTTTCACTTTGCAACCAAAAACAAAACCCAAGTTTCAGACCCGACTTCAGTCTCTCAGTTAGGCTACAACTGTTAAGCTTTGGAGACCAACAATTACAGCTTATTAGCCCCAGCACCAGAACCATCGTAATCAAAGATTTATCGCTACATGCAAAAACTACCCACGGTTCGATAAGAGCAGGTACCCAAGTGAAAACTCAGCTTAATTTCAACCTCAAAGAAGAAAAAAGACAGAAAGGAGGTGAAATTCAGAGCCGAAAATCCCTCGAACGCCGAAGATATACGTAACCGCAGCTCTTGCATACCACAAACAGAGCGAGGTATTCGCTTCTAAAAGCTACTTTTCCACCATAAACCCGATCCTCCAAAACCAAATTCACGCAGTCACGGCGACACAGAGAGAGAGACAGAGGTTGCGTCCTACCTGAGAATCGATTCGAGTCGCCGGCCAAAGGAAGCTGTTTGGGAAAAACCAGACAAGAAAACAAGAGAGAAACCAGAAGAAAGTGAAAGTGAAGGAGAAGATAAGACGGAGACGAAGAGACGATTTTTTTAATATGCTCCCTCGCGGCTCATCAGCCGTCGATGCGGCATCCAACGGCCCGCGCGGCTCGAGCCCGCGCGTGACGTGTCGGCACCTCAGCCGCTGCATGTTTGGTCAGATCATCACGCCAATGTGTTAGAAACCGAGGAAGCCGGTTACCCAGGTGGCCACCTTAAAAAAAAATATCTGCCATTAAAAAAAAATGAAAAAATATTTGGGAAGAGAGAGAGAGAGAGGCATTGGGAAAGTGGGCCGTCGGATGGAGGTCGAAAGTGAGGCCCGATGAACGGACGAGATGAAAGATCCCTCGGGAATCTATCTGCCTTAGCAGTTGGATATACCGATCTTTTCTTTTTTGTGTTTTATTTTTAATTCCGTATTTCTTTCGGTTTCGTCGCCGATGATAATTCTCAGGTGCCTGAGATTCCAAGTTTAGCAGTTGACCCAAAAAAACACAAACAGATTCCAAGTTTGGTCCTCAAGATTTCCTAAAGATCGAATGGGGAGTTTGAGTTCGAAAAGGATTTAACGGTGGTTGCACGAGGACAAAAGGCTCATTTTCATGTTACTGCTCGGATGAGTAAGGTATCAAAAGCTACTTGCCATTAACATGCGGGAAAAATTACACGTCCGGTCCTAAATTTTTTGTACGGCTGCTAATTCAACCCTAAACTTTCTAATTTGACTAATGCGGTCCTAATTATTTGCACGAAATTTCAATATAATCATTCCAGCTAATTATCAATACGGGACGCTAACGTGGTGATCCACAAGTGATAGTAGGTCGCAGCGTCAGTGATTTTTAGCAGGCAATTGGTCGGATATAAGTACATTGGGATTTCACCCAAAATTTTAAAATTACATTGGCAACGTAGAAAAGTTTTTAAAATTGAATTGGATCCATATAATATGTTTAAGACTGATCGGGTAATTATCCCACCATGCGATATTGGTGATTTTGCCGCTTTGGTCATTCAACTTTACAAATGGAAAATGGGATAGTAAATTAGTAAGAATTTAGCATCGCTTAATGCGTCTATGCAATTTTGAGTTGTTTAATATTTTTTCTCAAGAAATGAATATGATTTTACCCCATAATATTGTCTTCTATCATACGAATTGTTCTTCTTAAAGATTGTTGCTCGAATTTCCGCTAAAAGATAAGAAAGAGGAACTCGCTTAATCTGTTTGACCCAATTCTCCTCTCGGTTGACTTTGGCAGTTTCGAGTGACCTCAACTAGGTTTGCACATATTTCAAATTTTACTGTTCTAATGATTTAATTTTTATTTATCTCAAAACAACTTAAAGGTTTCAAAATGTAAGTTTATTGACATTCAAAAATCACACATCCCACGCTCTGCAAAGGCGAGGAGGAGCGTTGCTTGGGTTGTGTGACCTCGGTGAAGGTTTGGCAGGGTCGAGGCCGAGCTGGAGCAGCGGTTTTGGACTCCTGCTAATGGTAGTCACGGCCGACTCCTACCCTCCCTGAAAAACTCTCATTTTTTATGTTCTTCTTTTCTCAACTAAATTTGAAAATTAATCTTGATTTCTTAACTTTTTATCGGCTTTCTCTTTTTCAAAAAATTAAAAATCGTTTTGTCATTTGCCACATTGACATGATTGAGAGTGTTACTATTGACAAAAGGATCCTATTTTGCAACTCGGACAAGTTGAAATAAAGTTTTCATTAAGTTAAGGGATGAGTATACATAGATGTAAATTTAGAGCAAATCAGAGCCCAAAGAGTTTGAGGGGGATATAAGGTCCAGTTAGAAGGAAGGCTTTTCTTATGTTAGGCTTTGGCAATCTAGTTCGCCATCTTATTTTCTTCTCAATTGCAATACGTTAGCTTTAAAAATTTGAATAAAAGCTAAGTTACTAGGCCTGGCTTTCCTTGATAAGCAAACTCACCTCCCAAGAAACTTCTTCTTCACCGGATAAGTCATCTATCATATCAAGTTGATCTAAGTTCACTTCAAAACAAGTACTTGAGCGTGATCCAAAGAATTCAAGAGTTTCAAACAAAGCCAAGGCCTCGGTTCGAGCTGCAGATGATGCCATGACAGTTTGCGCAAAGATATCCACAAGAAGACCAGAGCTAACGCGATTAATACATGCTATGGCTCCTTCATTAGTCTCTTCCAAGTAAGCTCCATCAATGTTTAATTTTAGGATTGATATCACGAAAAATCCTAAACTGGTATACATACGACAAATTTATCCCGAACTATTTTTTTTATCACGAAAAACCCCAAACTTGTACATCTGTGACAATTTTATCCCAAATTAATTGTTTGACCATCAAAAACCTCAAACTTGTATATTTATAATAGATTTACCCTCCGTAAATTGGATTAATACCACGAAAAATCACAAATTTGTAAACTCGTGACAGACGGAGGAGGCTATGTGTCATCCAACTCAGCAATTTGATAGTAAAATTTAATGAAAACTAACGAAAGGTAAATTTGTCACAGATATACCAATTTGAGATTTTTTATGGTCAAAAAATTAATTTGGCCTCCAATCGACCAAATAACCTCAACGAAAACAACTCATAATAACTCAGTTCTTGGTGGGCAACTTGAAATCCTTCATACATTGATTAAACATCTATCATACAAGAGAAAAAAGCATCCAAAGACTTTTTAATCCATTCAACAAACCATTGCAAGGCGTACTCCAACCTGGGTGAAGTTCTTTTCCATAAACTCTACTTTCAATACCTTTTCTCAGTAAGAATACAGTATTGAGTCACCTTATGTGCTGCCCAATCTCTGAATCTAGCATTCCAACTAAAATCCAGGCCAAATGTATGCATTTTCGACAATCTTCAACTTATGTCAATTGTAATATATGCGTTTTTGCTAAGGTTGTTTTTCTTTTTGCCAATTGTATTTGGGTAAGGTTGACATATTTGTGATAAGAGAGGTTACCAATGATTGTCGCGTAGTCAGTAGTATGATGGTGTGCTACTTAGAGAAAATGGTATTTTTACCGACATGAAGTTATTAGGATATCCGCAATTTCAAGTAAGAAATCTCCTGCACCTGCCTTTCCAAGAGGAATGGATATAAATGGTATATTTGCTCCTCAACCAAACAAAATGCCATTTAAGTTGAGCTCTCAAGCTAATCCCAAAAATCAATTACCAAATCAGTGCTAAACTATTATACATACGTCATTTCAGTCCTAAACATTTCGATTTTGTTGATGTAATTCTAAACTTTGGGTAAAATTCTAATGTAATCCTCCTGGCCAATTGTCACGAAAAATTGCTAATATAGTGTTCATTCATTATCGTCCATCCTACGTGGCACATTGATGTAAAATAATTTGGATTACCGCATTAGTGATTTCCGGTGACAATTAGCTGGAAGGATTAGATTGGAGTTTTGCGCAAAGTTTTAAGACTATATTGGTAAAATTGAAAAAGTTTAGGACTGAATTAACATTTGTACGATAAGTTTAATGACTGATATGGTAATTTTCCCAAAAATCAATTATGTGGAGAATTGGGTCAAACAGAGCAACCAAATCCTCTTTCTTTAAAAAGTTAATCCTTTTGTGGAAAAATGTTTAGAAATGTTTAGAAAATGTATTATTTAAGAAGGCAACATTTGAGGTAATATCATCCTTATTTCTTAATAAACCAATAAATCAAAAAAAATCTTGTGAACTGGTTAAAGTGGATCAAATTTATTTTGGCATGAAATTGACTGCTTCCATTAAGAGTAAGTATTCTCATATGGAAAAATACCCAAAAGGGAGTTCAGTTTTGGCAGCAAAATCAACTTTGCATACCATGATTATCCAGAACATCAGCTTCCTTCATAAGAGAAGTTACCCTTATATGACAACTATTCAAAGTAAGTACTCTTATTTGCCTAGTTTTGGTGGTTGATGCTGTCATGTATGGAAAACCATGAATAAACTAAAGGGTTATCACATGTTGCTAGAATGGTGCTTTTTCTAGCACAGGGTTATTACACGCCATGTTCTTTAGCAGATAATTTGTAATTTATCAATGACATATATTCATATACAAACATACATATATGCAGTTTAAACGAAATTAGAACCTTATCCAATGGGCAAAAGAAAGAAATATGCCGTACGATGTATGGATGAGATCCAAGGCTGACATGCACGTTCACTTTTATACTGCAAATGTTGTATTTCAGGACTACGAAAGGACACTCGTCCTCGTGATAAGATTCAACTTGGTGTTGACTTTGTTGCTAGAGGCTTCCTTAAGGTTTTGCCAACATTGTCTTCATTTTTGTCCTGATAAACCATGCACACCCACATTGCACCGCCAGAGTCTCATGTATGTTGGGTGTGCTCGATGATATAGTGGATACATGAGATTATCTCCACCTTAATACTTCTTTTCCTTGTGATTACGCCTTAATCCTTACGTGTATAATGCCCACATCTTAGTTCTCTGCTTAAGCAGATACCATTTTTGCTCATCTAATGGTCACTGTACAATTATGATAGTGCAAATTCTCTAGCCATACGCGCGGTATCTTTCCGTTTCTGCACGTGCACATGCCATTAGCAACTTCTCGCCATTGATTTTGAGACTGAAGCGTATCCGTTTCATTTGCACCGTCCGTTTGGTCGGCATTCAAATAACGCGATGTTTGTTGAGTGAGATCACGCGACTGCTCGGCTGGATTTATTTCCTTTTAGCGAGGCCTTTCCGCATGTGCCCCCGGTTTTATAGAGAAGCAAGTGCTGCCATAAAATTCACTAGATGCAAGATCGTGCAGAACTTGAATTCCGAGTGAGTTTTCTCGCGAGATTAGGTTAAATACAGACTCTCATTGCAGTGGGAGTCTCGCTGTGTGCTTCGTTGCTGAAAGGCAAACCCATATTCTCACAGATCAATATAGCGGTAGTGCCTCCTAAACCTCTGTAGTAAGAATTCAAAGCCCTTTCAAAACCCTTCTCTCTCATCATTAAGATTCTCAGTCCTATCATTGTACAGGCATCATCGCGCAAAGTAGCTTCGTCATCCACGCTGTTATCGCCATCGCCATCGCTCGGTGCAGACTCTCTCTCAAGGGTTTAAGCGAAATGGAAGACTTTGGGAAATGGTTCTTCGGCGAGTCCTCGAACTTGACTGGCTCTTCCTTGTCGAGGGCGGCGGCCTTCTTCGCAGAAGGCCAGGGCATGAGATTCCGAATGGAACTTCAGATTCTTGCCCTTCAACGCGACGAGACGCGAGGAGATGCTCTTCGTTTCCTTGCCGCGGTACAGAATTCACCCTTCTCTTTGGTCCTTCTTTTTGGCGACGGTTTTAGGGTTGACTTTTGTCTTTCCTGTTCATGCGTGTCTTGTATCGCGTTATTGCAGTGAGGACGACAACCGTAAGCGTTCAAATTTTCGTTTTTTGTCTTGCCTTCGATCGTTTGGAGTTTTGATTTTTATTTTGATCGTCACCTTCATGCATTGCATATCCATTCGAGTTTCGAAAGTTCTCGATAATTAAAAAGATGGGGCGGTTGTAATTTTATTTTTTTTATTGATTATCTACTCCATTAACAAATCTTATTTCCCTAATTTTCTAAGTCTCACCGATAAAAACCTACTTTTTCCTTCAATCAAATGTTAAAAATTTTGCATCCACCATGTTTCACGTATCAAGGAGTAGACGACGACATTTCATTTTTCTTGTTCTTTGACATTCAAGTTAAATTAGTGGGTTCTGTTTTATCGATTATTTACTCCATTAACAAACCTTATCCCTAATTTTCTCCGTCTCACCATCCTCTTTTAATTTTCAAAAGATAAAAACCTACTTTTTTTTTGGATCAAATGTGAAAAATTTGGCATCCACCATGTTTCACATATCAAGGAGTAGACGAGGACATTTCATTTATCTTGTTCTTTGACATTCAAATTAAATCCGGTGGATTTTGTTTTATCGATTATCTACTCCATTAACAAATCTTATTTCCCTAATATTCTCCATCTCACCGTCCTATTTTAATTTTCATAAGATAAATTCCTACTTTTTTTTTTCGATTGAATGCGAAAAATTTGGCATTCACCATATTTCACATATCAAGGAGCAAATGACAACATTTTATTTATCTTGTTCTTTGACATTCAAGTTAAATCAGGAGGGTTCTGTTTTATCGATTATCTACTCCATTAACAAGTCTTATTTCCCTAATTTTCTTCGTCTCACTGTCCTGTTTAAATTTTCAAAAGATTATTACTACTTTTTTTCAATCAAATTTGAAAATTTTGGCATTCACCATATTTCACATATCAACAGGTAGACGACGACATTTCATTTATCTTGTTCTTTGACATTCAAGTTAAACCGGGTGTGTTCTATTTTATCGATTATCTATTCCATTAACAAATCTTATTTTCCTAATTATCTCCGTCTCACCTTCCTGTTTTAATTTTCGAGAGATAAATTCCTACTCTCTTTTTTCAATCAAATGTGGGAAATTTAGCATTCACCATATTTCACATATCAAGAGGTACACGGTGACACATCATTTATCTTGTTGCTCGACATTCAAAGTTAAACCGGATGGGTTTTGCTTATCGTGTTGCTCCATGCGCCGCGTGTATCTACGCATGGAAGGCTGAAGTAATTGTGATAATCACGAGGATAAAAGAACCAAACGTTTCTCGTGCAACTGGGTCTGATCACTCCCATTTTTCTACTCATCTTATGTTCTTGTCTTTTTCTTAGACATATAATATAAGATAATAGTCATCCATAGGTTGACAGCTGACCCAATTTGGCACGCGAAGATGGGGTGGGTTTTGTATTTCGTGGAGCAGGGTGAATCCAACGATTTCCTTCTCTTTTTTTATTATTATTGTTATTATTTGCTGCATTTAATTTCTGTCTCTCAGCTTTTTAGACCAGCTGGGAAAGTCCAATTTGACCTCATCAGTGTTCTATCACTTCGGCAGTTCACTTAATGCCAACAATATATAATCAGAAAAAGAAAGGTTCGGTCGAGCTTAGACCGCGAGCTTTATGCATATAGATGGTTGCATCAGCAACTGAAGTGATGACCCACTCAACGGGCCAAAATCACCCACAAAAGCTGCACTATATAGAGTAGATTTTTCGACGTGATTTTAATATATCTAGCATTACTCTTGTCCCCTCGGCAGCACCGAGAATTTCACGCGAAATTGGCGCCCATGCTGTGGAACATCCCCAATACCGTGTTCGTGCTTATTCAGGTACGTCACAATGCTCATGCTTCTCTGGGTCATCATGTACACAAGGCACAAGCAGTTCTCACTTGACACTTGACAGCAGCTCTCTTCTCTTTCCCACCCTCTAATTTTCCTTTCACTTTCACAGGAAGTCTTTTCTGCATATCCCATGCTGAGAACGCCGTTTCTCACCATGGCGGCGGCAGAGCGAGCTTCCAATGCTCTCGTCCTTCTGAAGGTTTGTTATGATCATATGGCTCTGGTTCCTTCCTCGTATTTGTTTTACTCATTAGAGACCTGAACCTTGCATATTGAAATGATTGGAGGAGTCGCGTGTATTTTGCATCTCACCCCCAATGAATGCATGTTTTGATTTCCCTTTTCTCGTCTTGGACAGTGCGTAGCTTCTCATCATGATGCCAAAAGGTCGCTTGTCAATGGTAAGTCGAAAACTTCTGCCAAGTGCATTGTGTAACTTCTGGTGTCCGATATGAAGGGTGATTTGATTTTGAAATCTATGCATACGGAGATAACTCAGGTATTGCATTTGCTTCGGGCATCCTAAATGCTTAAGGCGCGTTTTTCCCTCCATTTTCTGTAGTAATCCAGTTCATCAATACCCGTACTTATTGAATTTCATGCATACTTCTGGTGTTTCCTTGTGGAAAGTTGTTGCTTTAATGAGTCAAGGCATTGATACTTGACAGTTGATACTGCTCTAAGTTCATTGAGGTTGGTTCCACCATCACCATGCTTCAGCATTTCTTGTACGAGACTCGCTGTTGAAATCAATCTATGTATTGTTTTATCCGACCTGCTGCATATGCAATTGAGGATGCATTTAGTTGATATTAACTACTCAGATGAGATGATTCCGCAATTCCGAGTATCTTATGTCTCTCGCCGTTCACTGCAGCTAAAATCCAGGAGTATCTGTATCCTATATTGAGAACCACACACAGGGACAGGCCTCATGAAAAACTGAGGCTGCAAAGCTTGGAGGTCATCGACAAGCTGTTAGAGGTACTCCCGTCTTCTCTCTACAGGATGTTCCTTTTTATTGTCGCATATGTCTCGATAAATTACATCCGCAGAACCTAGTCGCCTTCCACTATAGCTAATTAAGAGTAATGATTTCTCTATCTCATCAATTTTTCTTTCCTTTTACTTAGCATGTGGAGGATGAAGAGATTGTTAAGGGGCTTGCCGAAGCTCGCATGGTGCTGTATTGTCTTCGTTGCATCGTGGCGAGCCACATATCTACAAAGGAGGTCAGGGCTCGGACTTTTCCACTAACTTTGGTCATTTAGTTTGTTTTTATACCGTCTTCCGCACATTAATAAGGAACGCACAAAGACTGTTTGATGTCTGACCAATTTTACCGTGTCTCGTGCAACTCTGAGGCCTTAAACATGCCTAACGATGACATTCCATCAGTGAAGAACTTCTCTACATCGCAACTTCTGCTTTTCTAGAGTAAGGATATCAAGACTCCCGGGTTGCGCTTCTCTGAAATAACATGGAACATAATTTTACAAGCAGGTCGCTGCTCTCATTCTCCAAAGGATCTTGATGCATGAAGCTGGGATGAATTCTTGTTGTTTCCCTATTTACCGCTTCGTAACGATGTCCCATGCTCTGACGTTCGTAGTTGAAGAGCGCGATATTGTGCTCTCTAAACTGCTGCTAAGACGTATTGCCGGTTGTTTCTTGAGCCTCTCAAAGCACACGAGGTTTGCTTAATATTGCTCATTGTTTCTTCAACTGTTGGCTAGATGATGTTTCTTGATGTACACCTTGATGATCACATGCTGCAGAAACATCCTCAAAATCTTTTTTCCTCCATATAATTTCAGGGCACAGGAGGTGCTACATAATACTCTTCCTATGAGACTAGAAGATGCCTGTATAGCCAAAATTCTTGAAGTAAGTGAGGAAGAAAATTGTTTAGCCGGAAGTATTTCTGTGTTAGAAGCAACCTTTTGAGGAACTTTCATTAATTGCTTTCCCATGAGCACAGTTGGAGAACGATGATGATTCTCCGAGCTGGGTTTTGAGGAACTTAACTGTACAAGTGTGGCTTAAATAACTCATAGAACCAAATATTGAAGAACAAAGCTGAACCATCATATTAGTGATCTAGTTTTCAGCTCTGATTATATATCTTCAATAAGTTTCGACCTAACAAGAATTGTAGTAGGCGAGTTTGTTGATCTTGATCCATATTCACTATACATTCTTTACTCAGAAATGTACATCCATAACCATCAAAGAAGGAACATTTCTGGGACTTAGCCAGACTAAGTACATGGGCTATATTCACGCACTCAAAATCAATGACTTTTCATGCTGTTTCACCCTGCAGGCAGAGCCACTAGCCAGGGATTTATTGAGAGAGGCAGCTGACAATCTCACCGGTGGTGGACGTGGACATCACCGTGTGGAACCGCGATTTGGGCCGATAGCTAGACCACCCGGACCGAGGGTGAACTGAGTGACTATGCGCCACCAGCTGAGCAAATGTCCGCAGAGTGAGTTTCTGTTCATGCATCCTCGAGGTTTCACCTATAGAAGTTGGCAATGGGAAAGCAGGCTGGACAGTTAATTGGCCTGTGTTTACTTTGGCTCTATGAACCCTTGGCCAGTGACAGTGGCATACCATACATTTGCCTTGCATTTGATCTGTTGTTGTAAAACAGTTTGGGTTTGCATTACTGTACTTTTGGAGTTCCTTCAAGGCATTGGTAATTATCTTGTGCCCGTAATGTGCGAATCGAGTTACCGTCCAGGGTCTATTGACATAGTGCTACTCCGCCGATCGTGGCATCGCCTCCTCGGACATATCGTAGGGGCTCGGCCGGCTCGGGCCTCTAATTCTTAATCTCGGTCGGGTCAATGGCCATTGGAAACTCCTTTGATACTGTCCTCGGAGGGACCCTTGGCTAGTGCAGTGATGTAAAAGATGAGGATTGGAACGGAGTTCTAAAGATGAAACTGCAGGAATTAGAGTATTTGCGTGCCTGTGCCCGCAAAAGACTGGATTTACGTAGTAGGGCTCGAGGTTTGGCATTTTTGACGTGGTAGTCTAGTATAATTGTACTTTTGGCCCATCCACAGTAGATAAGGATGGGTGGTTTCAGGATCGATTCAGGTTCCACCTAGAATCTACGCATTGGAACGGGAAACCCGAAACCTACCGTGCATATTTTGGAACATGAAACTTACCCTATCATAGGTTTTAGGATCGATTCCAAGGTCTATTTAAGTTCAACTTGTATTATTAATAAAACGATTGTAGTGAATTATCATCTCTAATTATCATCATTTGCTGCTATAATTCACTAATCGCAACTTATATGTAGATACATGAAAAATATGAAATATTAACAGAGTAAAAATCTCAGTTAATTACCGGAAATGGAAGCTCATAACAGTGGTTCCACACTACATGCTCATCATCGGACGCCATGAAATACTACAAGATTGCGCGAAGATATAGAACAAAAAAATACAAAAATTATTTTCTAATTTTTAGAACTCGGAACCTGCCTTATATATCCTGGAACCTGAAACATAACCAATTTTTACTAGTCCGATTCTATCCTGAAATTATGCTCACTCTATGTTCAGAACCCACGAAAATAAGGAGAATACTGGGTTTGCAATTTGACCCTTCCTCCAATTTGACTTATCTCAGGCCGTACAATTTCACCCAAAAAGCAAAAAAGACGAGTGAATCAGTAGATTGTTGGGGAAGACGGTGATCAGATTTAGGTGCGAAGTTATATAAAGGTGGCCGCGAAGAGATCGGCGTCGTCGTCTCACTTTGACGGAGGCTCGATCTCGTCGTCGCCGTCGCGATCCCAGTCTGCTCCTCCGCCGCTCGCGACTCGCGCGATCCCCACGATCCTCTCCGCCGTGCGGCGGACGGAGCGCCGCCTCGCACCGATGGCGCTGAGCCAGACGCGCGCCTGCTCGCCGGCGCTGTTGAAGCTAGGGCTGGGGATAATGGCTCTGTGCATCGCCGGCTACATCCTGGGCCCGCCTCTGTACTGGCATTTCAGGGAGGGACTGGCCGCCGTCAGCGACTCCTCTCCCTCCGCCTGTCCTGCCTGCGACTGCGATTGCTCTTCTCAGCCTCTCCTCTCTATTCCCGAAGGTAATGCTCGGCGGCGCGGATGGATCTGATGATAGATAGTCTTTCTGGATCCGTTCTAGTTCACGGATCTGTTCGGATCTGTTTGTGTTTGTTCTGGTTTTGTGCTGTCGATCTTGTGGAGTCGTTCCTCTCCTTTTCTGCTGATGCTTGTGGCAGCGCGTCCACAATTAGAAACTGCGATTCTTGTGTGCAAATTTGGAATGAGGTCTTACCTATTTTGTTTGAAGCAGATTAATTAATAATTGAATAGCTCATTGAATCTGTTTAAACCAGATTTGATAGTAATAGGCTACTGGATAGCTTATTGAGTCTGCCGCAAAAGGATGGTTATGTGCGTTGCTTCCCTATGAAAAATATCATTTTGTGCTTTGAACTAGTTAACTCATAATGGTTCTAATCTAAATCTATGGCATTATGGGAAGTATATCCTTTAACTTCTTACTTTATGTTGAATTACTTTTTTCATTGAGTTGGTTTTGAAGTTGTATTGGGCTTTGGAACCGTGTTAGATTTTTGTTCTGTCCTTCTTTTCTTATTGAATTCGCTCTCATTTGGAATGTCTACTGTGCTCTGGCATAGTCTAGATCGTGTCGCATTGTGCTCGATGACTAATGATAGAATTCTGATTATGAGCTATGCTTTTCTGAATTTGGTGAGCTGTGCTTATTGGACATGGGAAAATAAACTTCGGTGGCGTAAATGCAACTGCTACTTGCTTGTTTAATGTTTAGCTAGTGCATCATAATGAGATCTATGGTATTTGGCAGGACATATGCAAAGTTCAATACTCCTTTGAAAAGTTTCTAGAATTCATCGAGTAAGATCTTTATCAGATCTTTGGCTTCCATGACAGTAATATCGTAGCATCTAGGCCATGTATTTTGAGGGCATTAAATGCAAATATCCTCAAGAATTTGATAGAACATTTATTTTGTTTTTGAACAACACTATATTCTCAAAATTCATAGTAGTAGCTAAGAGGTATTCATCTGTTTCAATATTGTTGCTTCCATTAATTATCCCGAAAACTCTGAGAGTGGACTTGAGCATTGAAAACTTAAACAATTGATGCTGAAGCTAGCTTGCTTATGGGTAGCAAATCAGTTGTTTTGCTTCTTGACATCCATTGTGCAATGCATGCTACCATTGATGGACCAATCTTGCACCACTGGATAAAGCCCTGTTTGAATTCCATATTGTGTCAACTCTTGGGCTGTCTTGGACTGGAAAATGATCTGCATAAAAGCGCTTAAAAATAAGGCAAGCTGAATGGCGTCTGGCTTTCAGCTGCTTCTTCCAGATTAAGACATGTCATTGCATCATTTCCAGTTCAGCCCTTTTCTTGTAGGCATGACTTTTTTTATTCTCCCTGTGAATGTGAAATTTTCATAGTGTGCTGGTACTTTTGATATTTCTGGCTTGCTTTCAATAAGTTTCCATTCCCTGTTACCTTAATTTTTTGGTTCTTCACTGGTGCAGCGGTTGAACATTGCTTCTGTTGAATTATCCTCTGACTCTACTTTTAAACAGTTAATTGATGGCTAACTTTTACTTTTCTTATTTTCCCATTCGGCTGCAGGACTCAGCAATGGCTCCTTTGCAGGTTAGTCTCTTCTTTGTTATCGAACTGTATAATGATCCAAGAATGTGAAATTTTTCCAAAAAGTTTTTGGCATGTCTCTCATGTGCATGGAGCTAGTCAACAATTGGCATACAATGGTCAACTTGTCTCTGTTAAAGTCTACTTATCCGCATCATAGCAGTCTGTTTACAATGGTATCTAATGTAATCCTTTCAGTGTCTACTACAGAAGTTTGGGTTGTGTCCATCCGTCCAATATGGACAATTCGATGTAAATTCTTCATTGACATGGAGTTTAAAATGAGAAATTCCATCAGAAGTAGAATGGAATGAGAAAGTGAGAGTGCAAATGTTCTATGTTCATTGAAGAAAGCACTAAGGGCTTGTTTGGATAAAAAGATTGGGGAGATGTCAAGAGAATGATTATGGGAGAAACGGAATTCTTCATCCCTTTTCTTTAAAAGATCAAAGTGAGGAGACTGAAAATGTTGAGAATGTTAAGAGATTAATCTAAAATGTAAAACTACCAGAATGACATTGGCATTTTATCCCTAGAAAGCTACGTATAGTTTTTCCTTCTATATTTTTGGTGAGGAGACTAGCATAAGAGTTATGTAGTTATTTGTTCACTTTAATTGGATCCTTACTTATCCAAAAAAAAAGGAAATGGTTGTGATGAAAATCTTCGACTCATTTCTTGTCTTTGGACTTTCCTCCTCTGTCATAATCAATCTTATTTTCCTTCCATTGTCAGCTGCCATCCTCCCATTTTATACCTCGCTATCCCCTTCCTCCTAAATCAACATTGCTATTTGAGAACTCCATCTGCTTTAACTGATGTAGGAAGCATGGAAATGGAGAAATTAGTTCCAATGGAGTATGAATGTTACTGGTTCAGTCTAGTTAAATTATTGGTTCCTTCTTTCCCAGGTCCACACATAACAAAATTTCAATTTCATATTTTGTTCACTTGATCCAGCCCAAGTGTTTGAATGATGTGGTGTTTTATATATGCAAATGCATTTTTCCTGTGACTTGGATGCCTTTTAGTTCATCATCCCTTTTTTTCACTTTTAACATCATTACCTTGGAAATGGTTGCTTCTCAGAACGACATACTTGTCTTTAACTGTTATGTACCTTACAGATTGTGCAAAGCGTGATCTGGAGGTCGGTGAGGATACAGAAAAGAATTTTGCAGAACTTCTTTCAGAGGAACTGAAGCTGCGTGAAACTGAAGCTTTGGAAAGTCAACAACGTGCTGACATGGCTCTGCTTGAAGCCAAGAAGTTGACATCGCAGTATCAAAAAGAGGCAGACAAATGCAATTCAGGAATGGAAACATGTGAAGAAGCAAGGGAAAAGGCTGAAGCAGCATTGTTAACACAAAAGAAATTGACAGCTATGTGGGAATTGAGGGCTCGTCAAACAGGATGGAGGGAAGGAGTCACCAAAACTCGTTCCCAGTCTCAGGGAAAAGTCCAGTCGGCTTAGAATATCACTAGTTGCAAAATGCTCGTGTTCAGTTGGAAAGGCACCAGGGGAAACTGTTTTACGGTGTGCTTTTACTTTCCAGGATTGGCGTTTGGATGAATCTGATCTCAATCTCTGGCCACCGTCAATATCCGTTGCCATTTTCTGTCAAGTAAGAAGTCCATTGCGTTGTGGAGCCATCTGAGAAAGCAAAGCCAGATAAGATGACCCCAGTTCCGGTAAGATACGGTCCTTAATACCTTAGGCTATTAGGTTACCATGCGAACCCTGTTGATCTTGAAAGTGAACAATGAAAGTCCATTGTACTGCGATAAGTTATTAGGATGTGTTATGTAGAGATGCGGATGGAATTAGTGGGCAACCCTAAAGTTCCGAATCAATTTGGAAAACTATGGTCGATTGCTGTATTTCTATTGCATCAAATTTCTGTATGTCCTGTTCTGAATATTTTCTTTCATTTGACAGATAGGATAAATATATTGCTTTTGTAGGTGCTCTGTTTCTATTAAAACCCATCGGGTATCGTATGTCAGGTAACATATCTTCTGCATGATGGAGGCATTTTACGAAACACGCATGCAAGGAACATGGTTCCGTGAGTAGTAATCTTCTCCTTTGTATCAATGGAATTAATCTCTTGCTAGAGTCTTAGGAACTTTTGTGCACACCCCAGTGGCTGCACCTATGGGCGTGAATGTTATATACCCGCTGTCGACGAAACACAACACAATTCTCTCCAAAGAGAAGTGAATGGCAATCAGTGCATGTGCCACTATGATTGGAACAGAATTGAGAGTTTTAAGTACATAAATGATTTCAGAAGTTCCATTCCCACATGCCAGTCGTCATGAGGGGAGAAAACTCTCCATTGTTACAATGATGTTTACGACCGTAAAAAAAGATCTACAGCGATTCAATTGCACACCTGGGACGGGGAGCGAAACTTAGCCACAACAACAGAAGAAACACGACTAGACCTCTAAAGTCAAGTTACGAGGACACATTTGCACACGGCATGATAAGTTTCTAGGCACCATCTTCTCTACGCACATCGTGACCAGGAACACGAATGCTGAGGTCGTCCATGTCGATAGAGCCTTGGATGCTCAACCCGTGTTCGTTCGCCAAGTGCAACAAGCATATGAAGCATAAATGCGGGGAGATCTCGCCAATGCTTGCAGCAGCTCTACAGTCAGCTGGAAAACTGGCCAAGATCTGCTTGAAAGACACGGCTTCTTCTGGATCCTTCTAATCAAAGCAAAATCGATTACGTCACCTTGTCTTTTTTCCAGAAAGGAAAACAATTTTGATATCCAAATTAAAGAATACACAACAAGACGATCAATACCTTACCAAAAAAAAAAAAAAAACAAGACGATCAACGAGTATAGGACTATTCCAGGAGTCGTGAAAGGAAATCAAGAGAGATGAGTAGTCCATAGGCCTTGAGTGAAGTTTTGTACACAATACTTGTCCCTGCCTATGAATGAATGCTCAGACCTACTAGAATCATTCATGACAGACAATGAGAATGCTCAGACCTACTCACGGATGGATGGGGGGTTTCTACAAATCCTCGAGGATTAGATCCTCTGGATTATCTTGGCCTTTAGGATGAAAATGTGAGTAAATCTCACGTTGGAGGTAATTCCTTAAGTATTTGTGTGATACTACACTCTATAAAGTTAATACGACAAAATACACATCATTATGATAGAGTGACGATGACGGATCCGTTACTCGGGGGCCCATATGGATGATTTACATAATACAGTCCTGGAAATTAAGATGACTAGTGATTCCACTTGATTAATTTGACAAGTTGAGTAACTAATTACAGGACTCTGCAAGAATGTGTTCACCAAGGACATCATTAGATTAAGCATAGAGTTATCATCAGCATCTCTAAATAGATAAAACTTTTGATGTTGACAGTACAGCCCTAGTTCAGCTAGAAATGACAATAACGATGGCGTTTTTGGTAGTAACTATGACTTTTACGAAAGCATGACAAGGTCCACCATCTCAGATGTTTAGAAAAGGACGCACTAGCAGATCTTTCAATTAGAGTTGGCTATTTAAGGGGAGAAGAGCATACCTGAATAGACATTTCGGGAGGTTTAAGAATATGGTCCCAGAGAGTCTCTTTCAGTGCTTGGACATCAACTTGCTTAGAGGTTTTGTCATACTGAACTTCGATTTTATTTACCTGATAAGGAAGCCTTTATAACGATGAGTAAATATGAATAGATGCATCTAACGCACTCTGCACCTTAATGTATGAAGAAAGAAACAATCTTCCAAGGAAGCAATATTTCATTAAACTGAACAGACAAAAGAGGTAAACTAACAAAACAAACATCAACAAATTGAAAAACGACCTGGCGGGGCTGAGAAACAAGTGTATCAACATCTTCCTCATCACTATGGATATTCCCATCATCGAATTGTTGGTCAAAGACACTCTCGTGGTCCCAAGAGGTTGAGGGTCCATAACCATCAGATAATTCTCGCGGCTCATCTGAGATTGAAGGCAGGCTTTTCAATACTACCAAAATTGCAAGATATACCTGAATATGCATTCATAGGAAATAGCTATACCTGATCGTTTTTTCTGTTTCCTGCCAAGGCACTGCAGCAAGTGAAGCATATATCATTGGCATAGTTTGGCAGGGTTAAATAAGAAACCAAATATCCACCACTTGTAAAAATTATTACCGTTACATTCGGTAGGAGAAATAATTTCACAAGACTCTCTGGTTGGTAATGGCAATCTTCGGGCAATCTTACGTTACATGGAGCTCTATTTGCGGGCAACAGCAGTGACTTAGGATTCTTGGGAGGAGCAAATATATCTGGCATATCCTTGTCCAGAAAGCTTGTAAAGTCGATGTCAACTTCTGCTTGTTTCTTATATCTAGTTTTTTTAGCAGTAGTTGGTGAACCACTTTCCACAGCATGCTTTTCTTCCTTTCCTAAAATGAGGTTTAAACTACATTATCAATCCACAAAGTGACAGGAATAATCATGCCTTCTGCAATACACATTCACCAAACCTTTAGGTTTCCGAAACTTCCAATGGTCAGGACCGGCCCAAGCATTGTGCTGGGTGTTAAAACCCAAACCGAGGAAAAGATAGCTTTCTACTTCCTCTACCTTGTCTTCTGAATCAGGGTCATGATAAGAATATAATTCATTGTCCTGCAAAAGTCACCAGAAGTAAATGAGAAACAACTTCATCGAATTCCACTGTAAAAAATAGAGGATCATAATAATCTCTATTTGGCTGCAGAAACGATATGAATACGTGCAAAAAAATACCTCAGTGTGCATGGGAACTGTTGGATCCACACAATTTGAGTCTTCCACAACCACACTCGTATCACCAAAATCATCATCCTGATCCCAGGTACTACAGTTTTCGAATGTGTCAGCAGCATCGAACACATTGCTGCTGCTACATGTAGCATCATTTTGCTCTTCTGGCTTCTGAAAGACATGATCCGTTGGCCTTCTATTGTCTTCATCAAATTGATCAACTATTACCCTTAAGGTTGGTGTAATTTCATCCTTCATTTGCACTTCCAGTACCATTTGTTCGATATATTCTGTCAAGTAGGACAGGGAAACGTCAGTTATTCTTGCCACAGCCTCAAGCACATGAGCATGTAGATATAAAATACTATTTGTTGTGTTAAGAGCAAAAGAAAGGCAACAAACCTTTTGCAAATGAAAGATCGACTGTGTCTAATTTATCGTTTTGAATATCTGCCATGCACTTTCCAGGTACTTCCAAAGAGTCAAATAGCACCCGGCACCCACCATATACTCCAAGATTATTCAACAACAAGCCCTTCGCTCCACCTTCATCAAATTGTGCTGACGTCTGATGGTAAAGAGGATCCACCAAAAATGCAACTAGAATAAAAGAGATCAAGCTAATTGTCAGAAAAATTGACCTCTAAATCTCAAAATCATACAAGACGAGGTTGAATGAGCAGTCACCATCAAACTTCTTCACATTGAGAGCCTCAAAGGATGGTTCAAGTGTCGATAATGGTGATATCTGCAGGCAAAGACTTCTGTTTGCTTAAAGATTGCAATTCGATTACTTGGAATTCTAGTAAATTTGTTTTTCAAATTTTCATTATATAAAACCAAAACCTTCTTGTCCGCATCTTTCTTTGAACGACACTCTTCTTGTCCACTATCAACACTAGGATCCTCCACAACACCATCTGAAACAGATGTATAAAGAAAATGCCGCAGTTACATCAGATTATAAACATGAAGCAAATACAAGAAAGCGATAACATATTAAGAACCAGAATCATCTCTATATAAGAAAATTATACCCAACCACACAAATCCGTTTGCAGGTTAACAGAAGATGTTGTATCTACCATTGATAAGCAAACAAGACCGATGCCACTGACCTTGTTCGTTGTCTTGACCTGCTCTGTTCATCCCCCCAAGGACTTTGTAGGCCTCTGAATGCACAGAATCAACTCTCATCGAGTATATCTTAACTCCAGCTTCCAACGTGCAACTTGCCTGAACAGAGAAATGTGAAGGCACAACATACAGATTTAGGCATCAAAATTTCCCATGGAAGGAAAGATATGCAATAGAAGTACAACAAAGAGATTTGGGCATCTAAATTTCCTTGGAAAGATTTGCAACTGGTGACCACTCAAACCCATCTTCTAAACTTCTAGTAAGAGTTGCTTCTGGAAATTGACGAGCAACTTGTTTTTACCGCATCTACACAGTTACACTGTCTTAAACCGATTAGCTGCTTTCAGAACTTTCATAATTCCCCCAACAAACGAATTTTATATAAAATGCGAGCCCATGGACAATTGTTCCTCAACTAACCCATAGAGGCACAATAGCAACGGGCACAAGAGCTCACCTTTTGAAAATTCGTCTCCGTGTCACTTTCTTCTTCGACCTTAATAATCTCATAGAGATGGTCTATCAATCCCAGCTCCCACGTGTTCTTTTGGTTGATTTTCTGCACCAACCACATTCCAAAATAACCACACGAAATCAAGAGCGCCGATGATACTCGATCGAGGTTCAAAAACAAGGAAGCCGAAAAAAGAAAACGCACGTTCTCGCTCGCGAGCTTAATGCAGTTGTGGAACAGCTCGAAAATCTGCTGCTTCCCGAGGCCGGGATCTGGCGGGGCGGCGTGGGGGGCGGGGCGGGGGGCGGCGGCGAGCTTCCGGCGGACGGCGGCGGCGCGGGCGGCGCGGGCCTGGGCCCGCTCGAGGTCGTCGTCGTTGGAGCCGAGGAAGAAGGGGCTGGTCGGGGACTGGATCCGGCCGGCTATGGACCGGTGCCTAGTAGGGCTGAGGATCTCGGCCATGGAGGAGGCCGAAGCGGAGGCCGGCGACGGAGGAGGAGGGCGGCGGGCTTAGGGTTTCGACAGCGTCGGAGATTGGGTGGGGGGGAGGGGAATCTGGGAGGAGTTTGCCTTGCAGTTGAAGGACGAGAAGCAGGAAGCAACCGGACGAAAATGGAGAGGAGAGTATAGAAGAGAACCAGATCAAAGATCCGGTTTCGGTTTCCCTCCCGTCCTGGTGCCGTTTGAATTTTTCTGCGGGGACGACGGGAGAGGGATTCGCTGCGCTCGGGTGTATGGTGTTGTCTCAGTCGAGTCGGCAATGGATTGGCGACGCGTGTGCCTCAGCGGATCGAGCGAACCGGCCGGGGTTTGCACCGGCTGGATTTATTAGTTTCGGGATCCCTTAAGCCCCCTTAATTCTTTAATTTCTAATTTACCATTGTAAAGCTTTTTACTGGAACCGGAAAAACTGAAAATAATTCTTTTAAAATTTCAAATTCGCGGGAGAAGATTAAAAGAAATTTGCACTTGGCGTGCATTTTTGCTGCATGTGTTCCCGTATTTTGATCATAGTTAAAAACCACGTGTTCCCGTATTTTGATCATAGTTAAAAACCACTGGGATATACCTCAATGGCCACCCTTCCAGTGAGGAGTTTGGTTTTCCACATTTTCAGGAGTCAGGGGTGGGAACGTTTAGTTTCAGATGTGAATTTCGACTTTCATGCTCTACAAAAAGGCAAGACAACCACCGCCCGCAGCGGCTGCGTTGGCTTGCGCTCTAGTCCCCCCACGAAGGGATCAGAGTTCGAACCCCAGCGTAGTCGTTAGGGATTCTTAAGTGTGGCGCCGTAGTGGTGGGTCCTGCGCTAGCGTCACCCCAGGTTTACCTCTTCGGCTGTCGGCCGTGCGGGGGGTTCCTGGGTTATCAAAAAAAAAAAAAAAAAAGGCAAGACAAAAGTCTGAGAATAAATTGAGAATTAGAGTAGGACAGATAAAAAGTCCGCCCATTGGATTTACATATCATACTTTCGAAGTAGACGATTGAATTTACAATAACAAGACCTGTTCAAGTTCAATCGATTATTTGTGTAAAAATTAGATTCTATTTGTTTCGCGAAATATGAATGATCTAAAAAAATATCTACCTAAAGCTAATCGCTTATATCTCTTCAAATAGTTATTTAATAAAAAATATTTTCAGACAAACCATTTTGAAAAATGATGTAAATATTTTTCAACCATTCAATTTTATAAACAATACAAGCGATTATTTTTAAGAAAATGTTTACTTAATCATTCATTTTCCAAGAACCAGACGGAGCATTTATGAGTTTTTTTAATCAAGAGTAGGTTCGACCAAGCATGTTCAAACCCGACAGTCAGATACGGCCAGCCCATGCCGGGTCTCCGGGCCAGCCTTCTTCGGTTAATGTATAACAGAATCAGATGCTACTCGGTTTAAGGCATCAACCCATCAGAGACCATAGACAAATTACTGTAATGTAGCCATCCAGGTATGACATACTGCAAACGCTCGGCTCAAACCAACAAGAATTTGAAAGAGAAGGATACAATATGAAAGAACTCTCCGAGTAATCCTTCTCCATATGACCCAGGACCCGAATTATACACCAGCGAAGACTCACCTTCCTAACCTGTTGTTTGATGCAGAAAGATCCAAAGCAACTCGAATGACCTTTCGGCGCTTTGAAACGGACCACATACATCGATAAGCAAGCTGAAGACAGCACGGTAACTCTCTCAAGAGAAGCATTTCCGAGCGGCAGCATATTACACGCAAGTACAGAGAGCGACATTACAATCACAACCGTTCTCGAAAGATAAGACATTCACCGTTCAATACCGATCTCAACCACAGGAATTCTGGGAAAGCAGTCTGCTGCTGATATACACAGATAGGTTGATTCGTATAGTGTGGCGATCGGGTAGAATTCAATAGGCACTTCATCTAATTCTTTTGGTGAACAGCAATTTGGTGTATGTCCATGTCCTTCAACATGACGGAACGGCCACACGAATCACAAGGAGCAGTTCTTGACCCACAGATGCTCTCATGCTCACACAGACCTCTCAATCTGTCTCTCATGTCCACCGCAGTGTCTCCTGCATGAACCATGTCCCCACAGAAACGACACGTGATCAAGCGTAAGGGGCAAACTGAAGCTTGGTGCTCAACCTGCAAAACAATTAACAAGATAAGTACAATTATTGAGTAGATGTATTCTAGCCTCCATTTTTTCTCTCCTCAAAATGCTAGGTATCCCAGAGATGTAACATCATGTCTAATTTCTAAATGCATATTTGCCACAATGTGCAGTCCGAATGTATCGTTTTGAAAGGCTATATACTCGGTATATGCGTGTGTAGACAACATGTTCCAGACAAGCATTCATATTGGATATCCAGACACATCGACTAGTTCATGACGGTCAATGAATCAAGATAATGTACTGATGAAAGTAAAAATTGCAAGAGCCCGTGGAAATAATCTAAGATGTTAACATAAAAGATGTTAAAGCAATTTTTTAGCAGGAGGAAAAGCTGTTTAAATCCTAAAGAGCAGAAATACAAGAACACATAACTTACCATTTGCACCTTTTCTAGGACAGCTCCGCAAGGACATTGGATTGGCTCATGGAACACTTTCATATGCTTCTCCATTTCTACTTGCTGAAAAGCTTGTCCGCATTTGTCACAATGCACATGGTTCTTAGCCTCCTCGACTCTTAGAACTATTCCACAACCCACATGCTTACAAACTACGTTATGTCTGCTGCAATATGCTTCATGGAGTGCTATAGTTCTACTGGGTATGAAACGCTTGCAGTTTCTACACTCCACAGTATCTATCTCTGCAGATGAAGATGAGGATCTGGCTTGTTGACCCACCGTCCTCTCAATTTTATCATTAATAGTAACTGATACCAGAAATTTGCTTGTTCCCTTGAAGCCATAGATACCGACGCTATAAGTGCCTGCCCCAAGACCCTTATCCTTGAAGCTAAGAATCAGTGTCTTTGAACCCAAATCATGTGAAGACCATTCATGTTGATGTCTGTTTGGGAATATAAGGGGATGCCTGGATATGTAAAGATCAGTGTCTCCCTCATCCGTTTCTGCTTCTACCGTCACCTCCACCATGGCATTTTGAGAAGATATCTTCTCCCAGACATCATTTTCGATGGAAAACTTGTAATAAACATAGTTACCTTCATCAACCATTCCAGACTCAGACTTTCCTGGTGTCAGGGGTATGAGCCTGCGCTGGTCTGTCCCCTCCAGAGTAGAAGCAGGGCCAACTATATCAACCTCAATGTCAGTTTCTAAAACTGACACACTTGAAGCAGGTTTCAAATCAAGTACACGTAACCTGTATATAATGTCACCATAATTTACAGTTAGAATCTCATTTTGAGAAAGAGTTGCATGCTGCCGCAGGCTCGTTTCAAGAACAGCCTTGTGATTGGGCAAGTCGGAGAAGCCCATCCCATCAGGCTGAAGTTTCGCATAAGTTCCTTTTGGGAGCCAGACATAACGGACTTCAACCAATGGAGTCGCTGGCGAATCTGACTGGAACATGTTACTCCATACATGAGGTGGAAGTCCAACAGAACCTTCATCTGCAGTAAACTCTAACACACCACAATGGGTGGCCCCATTCTCCTCATCGTCAGTTTTCATATCCACAGGATTACCTTGTTGAACCACTGCCAACCGAAAGTACATAGGCCCCTTATCAAAGGCACCTTGATCAGACAATTCAGTGAAGCAGGAAGGTGGCAATTTGATCTTATCGCCACTGCCCTGAAATGGCACTGCCTCCAGCAGGCGGTGGAATGAAATTCCTTTCCCAGTCAGCAAACTCTCTCTCATTTGCTGCTCAACCTGTAGTTAGGTAGAGGTAGAGCTTAGCTAAAGGGAGCATCTCCTAATTACGTGAACGAGAAAGAACATACCACAAAAAGAGCAGAGAACATATGTAATGTGCCAGAGTATTATCATTACTTTAGCTGACTCCAATTTGAGAGATACACTTTCTTTGCAACTTATTCCAAAAGCACAAGACATGAGGCAACAAGATGGAAGTTGAGAGAATTCTAATCACACAAGCGCAGCTTGATCACAATGCACATCAAAGATTCTAATAGTTGCCATCTCAAGGAGAAATAACACGCAATAAACACAACCAATTTGGCAAGTAGTTTTTCGAATGCTACCTTGTGTGACCTCATGTCACCATCCTCTTCTGTTAGAGTTGAGAGGTATTAGATGGGGCCCCACTCCTTTGCGGTTTGAGTATATGTGGCTCAAAATAGAAGATTTCAAAAAGGCAGTTATTAATTAATGGAAGAATAGTTCTATTGGAGGGCATGCCAGCTTTAATTTTGCTTCGATGCTCAAGGGGCTAAAATATGTTCTGAAACAATGGAGTCACAAGAAGGTGGGAAACCTGGGAAACAAAATTAGGGAGGCAATTCAAGAAGTTGACAAGCTTGACGATAAGGAGATCCAGGTGACTCTAGCTGAGGAAGAGAGCTTTAGGAGAATATAATGGGAAAAAAAACTCGTTTTTTTAATTCAAAAATGGAAGAAACCTCCTGAGACAGTCGGCAGATTTGGCTTGACGAGGGTGACAGAAACACCAAATTTTTTCATAAGATGACCTATGCTCGTAGAAGATATAACTTCCTCAATAAGTTGGAAGTCTTTGGGTAGGTTGTTGAAAATGTGGATGCCATGAGAGTGCAATTATCTGAATTTTATGCTGATTTATATAGGGAGAGATGTGTCGAGCGATCAGAATTGGAGGGGATAACTTTGACTTCTCTTGATCCTGATATGGCTGATATGGAAAATACCTTTTGAGGAGGAGGAAATTAGAAGGACACTCTTGTATTGCAATGGAGATAAGGCACCGGGTTTGGATGGATTTACTGTTTTTCATAAAAATTTGGGAGCTTGTTAGCGAAGACCTTCTGAAAGTTTTCAAAGAGTTCCATACTTCTTCGAATGCTAAAAACTTTGCATGGCTCATGCACTTGAATAAAAGCATAAGATATATGTTCTATTCTCAAAAGAAATTCCAAAATGGCCGGAGACGAGACTAGTTAGTACTGACAATCATCTGGAATCTAAAATTGAGCATAACTAGCATGCCCTCACCTTGTCATACAGGGTGTGATATGTTAGTCAGGAACAAAGCATGTAAAATTTGATTTTTTTTTTTCGTTTAAGTTTTCCAGCAACTAGAGTGACTAATTACATGACTTTAAACCTCAGGAGTTCTTATGCATGATATCACCACCATAACACCATTCGCATGAGAATATAAACTTAAAAGATGGTTCTGGCTACATGAAAGTTGCTTTATCCAGATTCAGCATAATAATCAGCAGTTGCCTAAGACAAGAAGGGACATCTTAAAGCATAAATGGCTACGTCTGCACCGCTCACTCAACGAGTTTACCTAAGCAAAATCAACTTGGGACTCAGCTCTACATTGCATGTTATTTAAAGTGAGAGCCTACTTACATGTTTCAGATCTTTACTAACAATAGCCCTATTCATTTAACTTTCTCACAGCTAATTCTATTAAGCACTAAGCAGAAGGATACAACAATAGTAAGCCATGGGGATAACCACGAGTCTGAAACTGCGCAACCTATATATCTAGCATGGTTCGTTTGACGGAAAATCATTGAATATAACCGAAGGTCTCATAAAAACGGAAACATCAGTCCACGCAAGAACTTCAATCAAGGCTATATGGCGCACGCATGACATCAATGGCAGTTGCAATAAGATGAGGTCGAGGGCAATGCTTTCCTCGCTCCACAACGGACTTAGCAATATATCAAGCTTTAAGCCGATTCCTCAAGCGGAAGTTTTGTGCAGATATGATCTAATACTAGAGCTGTAAGCACTAATTCCATAACGGGTATTTTGCCTTGATAAGTAATGAACCACCCATTAACATTTCCAGTGAAAGCAAATTTCAGTTGGGAGACTACTTGAGCACGTTCATAAGGAACTACCCACTTCTGACGGCAACAAATTGTGTCTAAACCAATTATAAGGAAGCACCCAAATCTCCACTGCACCAAAAGAATCGAGCTTCCCTCGAACCTGGGAGTCGGGTTCAAACTCGAGCCGTACCCCGAGCAACAAAACGATTCGAATTAGACAAAAACAATCGCCGGACCAGGATTACGATCACCTCATCCCCACCGGGACGGCGAGGAGCGAGCGGCGTACCTTCTCCTGCGCTTCCAGAGCGTCCAGCCTCCGAGTTCGCTGGACCGCCTCGATGGCCTCCCTCTGCTTCCGGGCCTCCTCCTTCGCCTTCCGCTCCCGCTCCAGCCTGGCCTTGGCCCGCGCTTTCCTCTCCTTCTGCTCCTTCTCCAGCTTCTCCCTCGCCCTCCTCAGCTCGAAATCCATCCTTCCTTCCTCCCGAGTCTTCTTCCTTCGCCGCGAGGACACACGAACACGAACCGACACGACGCGGCGATCTGGGTTGAATTTATGGGAGGCGACGAACGATCGAAGGAGCGATGGGAAATTGCAAATCGATTTTCCTTCCTTGTCGAGGAAGAAAGGAGAGAGAGAGAGAGAGAGAGAGAGAGAGTTGGATTCGTGTTCTTGCTCTGTTCGCTTCCGATTTTTTTTGTTCTCTTTTTCCATGGAAATTGAACAGAAGAAGCTCCAGAACAATCCGGGCCTTTCTTTCGGCCCATATTTCGCACTAACTTTGGGCTGATATCTTCTCATTTTCGGCCCACTTAGATCTTTTCTTGTCCAAAAATAGGCCCAATTAGCACCTGAATATGATGAAATCAAGGTCCGAAATTGTCTATTTGGGCAAATTAGATTGTTTTAGGGATGTCGTTGCAAATTGCCTCCCTGACATTTTCGAATTTCACAATTTGTCCCACGGATTTCGGGAATTTGGCTGCGGTGCGTCCCCCGGCATCGGCTCCGATCCAAATTTGCTTGGAGCTCTGGCCATGTGACGGCACGCGAGTAATTACCGAGGGAACAATTTGTCGTATAAGTATATACATATAAAAATAGCAGAAGAAGAATTTGGAAATATAATGCATGTGAGAATATGTGACTAAAAGTTGTGGTGAGATTTTGATCGGAGTCAACGCTAGATGCACGTCGATATATGATTCTGCAATAAGTTTTGGAATAGTCCCTTTTTTTTTTTTCCTCACATATATATACACTATATATACACTATATATATGACCAAGTCGCGTTCCATAACTTAAAAGAGTGCTTAATCGCATATCATATTCTTCTTTAAATTTGGTTGGATCCTCAGGATGACATAGTTCATCAATTTATTTCTCAGATTAGAATATAAAAGAGAGTACCACGTGATGTGGCTACTCGCACTTGTTAAGTAATCTGACCAAACAGTGATTTGCGGGAGATTAACGAGACTCGAATCAAGTCTCAACGCCATTTGTTGATCATTCTCTGGCTTATTTAGTAGTTAATTAAACTTCACCGTTTGTTCTCTTATTTTTGATTTCTGTAACGTGAAAAGTCATGGGGGTTGAGCAACAGCAAGTCAGTGCCGTGGAAACTGCACAGTTTCCTTATCTGTCCCTTCTAAATTGCATCCATCGCAAACGTCGCAAGATTCTGCGAAAACCGGACAGAGATCTAGAGAAAGAGGTCTCTTGGTCCGGAAAGAACTCTCGGTTTGCCAGTTTGTTCTTTTGGTCGCAAGCATCATATCTCAAATTCAGTTTTTGATAACAGTGACATATAACAAGAAGTACGCCACATTTTTCCTGGTACATCTACATCTGATAACACCTGGCCCATATGCAAGAACTCAACCATGAAAAGCATTTGGCATTTGATTCTCTCGATTAACCATCCTCTTTCTGCTAAATTATGCATCTCAAATGTGAGTTACCGCGTCCAAATTAGGCTAGGCCAGTTCAAACATCAAACCGACAAAGGAGATCACAGGTTTCTGCTACCTCAAAGGTTTTCTTTTCAGATCATCCGATCATGCTGTTTGTTGTAGCACGACAGGGTCTCAGTATGTATATACTCTATAGGAACGTACATACAACCAATGCACATCGAACAAGCTCCACAAGAATTCCTTTTCTAGGGAGAAGAAAAGACTCAAGAGAATAATTTACAATTCGTCCATGACCAGCTACATGAATATACACATACAACATAGGAACGAAAGCTTGAAAAATGTGATTGTATGATTCCGGCAAAAAGGGGAATTTTCTACCTTCCGGACATTAGATTCACCAGAGCATGGTTCTCGTAGAAGGAGCCAACATCCCAATCCTCCGTCGTAGATGAAAGCGTCATCAGGGCCACCACGATAGATCTCATGCTGGGGCGCAGTTGAGGATTCTCTTGTGTGCAAGCTTTCGCAAGCTGGGCCATCTGTGCACGTAGAAAACTCAGCAGTTATAATGTCGATTTACCGAGAAAGGAAAACGTAAATGGCCGAATGATTCTCTCAGGACCCCCACCTTCTGGGCAGAATCAAGCGGATAATTATCTCCAAGCCTAGGGTCAACAAGCTTGTGAAGGTCCTCTCTGGGATTGGGTTGGTTAAGAACCTCTTCAAACTACAGATGATGAGATTACAGCAATTAATCATATGATAACTTTGTCAGAAGCAGTCTCTGAGTTTTAAAAGTACACAAGCACATCACAATCATGACTTGTGTCCACGAGTATAGAAAAAGCCCCTCACTAATTCACATGAAACCGGTAGCAAAGAAAAAGTCAAAATAGTAGATCCCAGATATAATTTGCTCGCTCAAGCTAGAGATTAAGTTGTAAACCTATATTGAACATTTTGGGGGCAAACTCCAAGTTTCTAATTACTATTAACTAGCTATAAAATAGAACAAGGGAAAGAGAATAACCAAAGCAACGAGGCCCTTTGATTCAGCAATAGAACCATTTGCCTTGACTACAGCCTCCTTGGCAGAAATAAGTTCGTAAAGGACCACACCAAAAGCGTACACATCAACTTTAGGAGAGACATCGCCATACTGGGCATATCTGCACAGAGAAGGAAAAGTAATTACGCCGTGTGTGTATTTCCAAAGCCGAAATGAATCATTACTCTCAATGATTTGCGTTAATGTTTAGGTTCAATTGCAAAGGAAAGAGAATTAAACTCTTCCACACTAATTTTGACTTCCAACTGAGCAAGACCGGTGATGGATGGTTTATTAGTGTTGTTTCTCCAGTCATAATGATCATATCTTGTCAGTCTGGATTGATTAGATCCTGCATAGCAAATGATATTCTACTTCATAAATAGCAGTTTTACTTGGGATAGCCCTTTCCATTTTACTTGAAACCTGGATACTACTTATCACAATCCCAAACATGCTCACAATCTCAAATCAGTGACGGCAGCCATGATTGCATTACAAAGCGCACGGCTTCCTAACTTCTTCCAATCAGAGGATATCTTTAAGAACTCTAAATGAATAAGCAATTGCTTGAGTTTATTCTATCCTGTCAGTGTGACCAGTGTCAATGCCCTCCTACATAGATATCACATTGAGAGAGAGGGAGGGAGGGAAAGAGAATCGTACTCGGGCGGCATGTATCCAAATGTACCTACAAGTCGTGTGGGAAGAGATGTGCTTCCAACCTCAGTCAATTTTGTCAAACCAAAATCTGCCACCTGTCGTACACTACATTGTTAGTCCAGAAACCGAAGGGTACATCCAGGTGCAAAATTCAATAGAGAATAACCTTTGCATGGAAGTTCTTGTCTATCAATATATTTGCCGATTTAATGTCTCGATGGATATAAACCGGTACTGTATGCTCATGGATATATTCAAGACCTCTTGCAGAATCAAGGGCAATCTGAACCCTGGTAGACCATTGAAGTGGTTCCCTATCTGGAAAATAGATGGAATGTACAAATCATCACCGGTCAGAGATTAATATACAAAACTCGCCAAACAATATCCTCAAATTGTGTCCAATCTCACCTGAGCCACGCAAATGTTGGCTTAAGTTTCCATTCTCAATATACTCGTAGACAAGGAAAAGAGAACCCTCAACACAGTATCCAATCAAACGCACCTGAATCAACCATTAATATAAGTCTTTATTTGATGACTAGTAGAGAGTAATGACATGAATTTAGCTGCAGTGCAGGATTTTTGCAGCAATAAGGGCAGCTTCTCAACAACAGATTTTACAGTGGACATATCCAGATGATCTGCATCACTACATTTTGGTAAGTCAAAGAGAAATGGAAACGGATACACCATTTATTAATCATGAACAAACAGCACGTGAAAGCACTATGTCTGTGCACACGAATGTCACAGCCACACATGGTCCAAAATTTCCACATCCCCACATAAACTGTAGGAAACGCATAGGATTGACTGACGTGGAAAGGTGTTTCCTTCGTAAAGTACAAACTCATATAGGCTGGAAATTATGGATTTACCAGGTTAAGGTGATGAACATGCGTTAGAACCTTCAATTCAGCGAGAAATTCTCTTGAAGCTTGCATATCCATCTTCTTAATTGCAGCCTTCTGCATGGTTTCCAAGAAGAAAGGTCCGTGAGTGTAATAATAGAAAATTGTACTGACAAGTAAGTGTAGCATGGTAGAGCATAACAGCGGTTTCAACTGAATACAGAATCCCTTCATCTTAATTTTAATTATTGAACCAGATAGAAGTCTACTGGAGAATTATTGTGAGCTAAGCAGCATGTCAGCTCTAGGGTCCGTAGAATCAAATGCAGTGGCGCTGCCCAGATTGAATTTCAATGAGTTCTCCCTTATAATTAAGCTTCTTATGAACTTACACCACCTTATCTAACCATATTAGCCATACATTAAGTGCAAAAGCTATTTTTCGACGAACCTCGCCTCTCAATTCAGCATAATAGACAGCTCCAAAGCCACCTTGCCCAATTTTATTAGCCAGGCTAAAATTTTCGGTAGCCTTGGCCAATTCTTCGTATGAAAACTCCACTGACTTGTCCACAGTGATTCCTGTAAGACCTGTTGAAGCACCACCAGCTGGACCAGTTGATTCAGAAGGTTTTGCTGAGTCACTTCCCGGAACTAGACCAAGAAGATGGGGGAAACATCAGTCAGGGTACTCATTTACTCTGTAAAAAAGTTAGGGAGACAAACAAATCTTCTTTCTTCTGTAGACAAGAGCTAAAACTGCTTGCCAAAGAGAAAACACTATGACACCAATAAAATTTAGGAAGGTACGATGAATAAAAAAAACATATGAACTACGTATCCCGTGTTGAGACACAAAGTATTCTCTAGTAACTCCTTATCTAGAACACTGGCTAAATAAGTATCTTAAGCAGCATCAAGTCTCGTCTGCAGTATGACTGACATAATGTGCATGCACTATTGGTAACCAAAGACACATAGATTGGACTGATTTCATCACGACAGTGAATGGAAATTTCTAGAAGCATATATATTATCTGCTCGTGCTTCATTTGCCACGAGTTATTTTGCCACAGTCACAGTATTTAAGAATGTACAAACCAGTAAATCCTTAGTTCAGATATATATATATATATATATATATATATATATATATATATATATATATATATGGAAAAACAGATGAAAAGTGAGGGATTAATCTCAGCAACAAAACTACCATTCCCTGCTTGAGCTGATAATTCATGAGATCCTGAGAGCAACATTGCCTCCTTCACTTTGTTCTTTCGGTATATTCCAGCGTATAGACAATATGCCAACAACGACAACACTGCTACTGCTGCGACAATTATGCCGACAATTGCTCCAACAGATAGTCCTCCTATGAAAAAGTCAAAGATAAGCCTGAATTCCTTAAGTATAGTTATGGTCCATCATCACCCATTAGGATATTGAAATGAAGTTGCAATCAGAAAATCAACATGCGGAGAGGGACATTCCACCTGTGCTGGAAATAGGAAAAAACAAAAGGATAAGTTAGACAGTTGAAACGAGGATGAAATGCTAAGAAAACTTCCATTTGATGAGCAGACTACTGCAAGCTACCTTGAGTTCAGAGCTGGATAGGTTCCATTTGCATCTGTAAGAAAAGGGAGACTTAAGTCAATACCGCTATTGCAACTTCTGTCACCAAGTAATTAAAGCTCAATACTTAGGCCAGGTACAAGATTTCTAGTACCCAATACTTCACCACCGCCGTGATATCAAAACAAAGGAATGATAGGCAATGTCACAAACATGACTACTTTTACGTTGACCATTAGGAGATTCTCTTTAGAGACTATGAACTCCAAGAAAACATGTTCGGCTAGCCAAAACAAATAAACATCCGGAGAAACCTAATCATAAAGAAGCAACTCATCCGTGCTATAATGAGAACTAAAACAAAATTCATAACCAGTAAAAGATAGCATGCTAGCTTCAAAATGATCGGCATCGTCTAAATAGCACAATTGCGTCTGCTGCTACTTTGCTCCATATGCCGTGTTAATCCGGTCGTAATAGACAGAATTAGATACGATATTATGTTGAACAATGACCATCGGGATTAGATAGACGAGTCAGCACTTCATGTAGAATAACCAAGCCAGCTTTTCTTAAATGACTCCCGCATCTCATAAAGAACAGTTCCACCTCATTTGTCTCTTCGGAAACATCGGACATAATTAGAAAGATACAGAGATCCACAAGCTCATTCGAACACTCGGGGAGATACATCTAAATCCAGTATAGACAGTCAATTTTAGACATCAAGGCTCCTTCGTGTAATCATCTGGTCGCCTGAGAATTTTATTGCTCGGACGGAAAATTAGCAAAACCAAAGGAGCATGTCCTGAAGGGGAGTTTAAAAAACCTCACCTTTCCCGGGAATATACACCAGACCACTCCCTTGGCTAAAATTCACACCAGGATTATAGCTCTGCAGCAGAGTAGCGTTCAAATTCACCTCCGCCGCGACCGACTCGAGAGTTTCCCCCGCCCTCAGCGGATACGTGATAAACAATCCGTACTCCTTCGAAACCGCGCTATCCCCGCACGAGCAATTGACAACCACTCTCAAAACGGAGGAGGCCGGTATATTGGTCGCGGGATAAGAGTTGAAATTCTGCAACCACGCGGCGGTCGTCAAGTTCGAGTAGTTCTGCGTCGCGACCAAGCCGTAGGTGTCGCCTGTTTGCACCGTGTAATTGAAAATCTGACCGGGGAACTCGTCTTCGATGCAGCCGCAGGTGAAGGGGATGTTGATCCTGATCCCCGACCGGACGCTGTCCTGGTTCGGGATCTTGTCCTTGTTGTAGCTGACGATGTCCGCGACCGGCGCCGACAGGACCTGGCCTATGAACGTCAAGGTCGTGCCCTGCCAGACGTAGTACGAGGCCAGGGCCAAGCAGCTCTTGCCACACTTGGATTCGACCCTGCAGCAGGCCGAGATCATCATCAGCATCGCCAGCAAGCCGGCCGTCCGTAACCGCGGCTTCATCTGGTCGCCGGGAACGGCGAGAACGGAGCTCGAATCGGCCGGAGGAGTTCTCCGAAGTCGAGGTTCCGATTTTGGGGACTTTGAATGGTCGAACGAGAGTCTGATCTTTCCTTCTGCTTCTTCTTCTTCTTCTTCTTCTTCTTCTTCTTCTTCTGCGCTTCCTGGCGTTGACCGGCGATTTTTGGTTGCTTTCGGGATAAAGAAATCGAGGAAGATGACGAGGCTCGGCCGTTGTTGAGCGTTTTAAAGCGTAAACAAAAGCTTCGATTGTCGTACTCTCGGACTGGACCGGATCGACCTATAACGGTAAATTCGCCGCGGTTCCGTTTGACGGTCCGTAGGGGAAGAAGGCGCGTGGGCGCGTGGGGAAGAGAAGTGCGCTTCGCGGTGTGACCCCGCGGGACTGCTCATTTGGCCGAAGGTCTTTTTTGACGATATTGCCCCTCGCCGGGTCGCTATTGGGTCGGAAGGACCGGTAAAAAGGTGCGATTTTCTTTCTTTTTTTTACCGGTTGGACTTGGTCTAACGAGCTTCAGTTTCTCCGTAAGCGCGTTTGGATTTATTGAATCGAATCGAATCGAATTGGAAAATTTGAAGTGTCGTTCGTTGAATTCGTCAAGTGACTCTGTTGGTTAAAAATGGGCATTTAGCCGATTTTCGAATGTTCAAGTATTACATTTAACGGAACAAGGTTGTTTATCTCACAAAACATAATAGCGACATGGATTAACCGAGAATTCTCGAGACTGTTATCGACCTAGTATACTTCGATGCTTTTTGTCTTTCTTAAGGCTTACCTCTTTTGGCAGAGCGAGCAACAAGTAACGATCGTTTCTTCTCATGACATTCTTAACATAAAAAAAAATTTACCCAATTAATTCATAAATTTACTGCACGAGATGTCAATTCAATCATAAATTTTTCAATTTTAATAATTTAGTTCTAAATCTTGTGCTAAATTCTAATGGAATCCTGCCTGTCAATTTTCACTGGAAATTGTTGACATGGTAATCCGGTCATCGCTGGCCGTCTTACGTGGCACACGTCATGTCGGCAATTTTCGGTGAAAATTAACTAGAATGGCTATATTGGAATTTCGCATAAAGGTCCAATCCTAAATTAGCAAAGTTGAAAATTTCAGGACTGAAGTAGCACCCGTACAATAGGCTTACCAATGTTCGGACAATTTCACCCTTAGGATAGTCGGCACGCCGTCAGTCACGGGGTCCCGCACAAATGGAGCAACGATCCAAACGATACCTCAGAAAAGAGGAGGGCGTTTCGGTAACTTGACCCGGTTTTGTTTTTGAATATTTTTAGTCAAGAGACGTGAAACATTTCATGGCGTTATTGCAGGGTACCAAATTCAGCCAGGTGTCTCCACACACATACGTCCAACAATTATAAGAATAATAATTTATTATAATTATAATAAATAATAATTATTGTTAATCTTCTAGAGAGGAGGCAGGCCAGCAACTTCGTACCAAAAGGAAACGGGTCTCCGCTCCATACTAACCCTTTTTAGTTACAAGTTTGTGTCCAACTCTTTCGTAACCATACATGTAACTTGGCATGCACAAGAAGTTAAATCCGACCCCGGACCCCGAGGATTAGAGGTCCGGTTCCCGATCCCCTTTCGCAGAGAATAACAGCCTAGATAATAGAGATCTTTCCATCCGCTCGAGATTACTTACGGATGATTTCAGCTCGCGCAAAGACGAAAGAAGCAACCCTCACGGTATAATCATCCGCGTGCGAACTTCGATGATCGCTCCGTGTGCATCGGGAGAGAAAGGACGCTCGCTCATCCCCCCGATGTGAATCGATCGAGTCCTCACGGTGCAACCCGATACTTTCACCTCATAAAAAAAATTCGAAAAATTTCATTATCGGTATGATCCGTGTATATTCGTCATGCTAACAGTTTATTATTACCGTTTCACTTTTAAGCAAAGTGGAAGACGAAAACTGATCTTTTTATGTAGTTTTGACTCGGTCAGTGATTCCGGAGAGCAGCATCGCCGCCGATGTCCCAGACATTGTTGAATTGGCAACGTATGTTGACATGCTGCAACTTGAAAGGCACGGAACGTAGCGGCGGTCAAATTTCATTTTGGAATGTTTCTAGCAAAAACTTTCCTAACACAAACGAGACATTATAATATAAAAAAATAATCGAAAAATATTGTCGCCTTCTCGAGTAGTAAGTTCGAAATTAAGTTATTTGCAAAAATCCCGTATCAACACACGATCGACGGATGCAAGTTTGACGGCGTAGAAGGCTACTGGATAAGACTTTTTTCCGGTAATTTCATGTTAGGAGGGGCTTTTTGGTATCACGATGAGAAAAAATCGATGCATTCGTATTTGATAAAAGTTAAATTCAGTGCCCGAATGTTGTGGATCCGAATATGTTGAATTTCTATAAAGATCAAGTTGTGTTCTTATGTAATGCGCCGTGATATACCATGTCGTATCATTTCAAGGATTGCCATACATGCATGTACATGGGCAAAAGCCACAAAAAAAAAAAACCTCAAATTATGTCTACCGTAACACATTTACCTTAAGCTTTTTTCCGTAACACTAAAAATCCTAAACTTATACTTATATGACACATTTGCCCTCCGTCAAGATTCCGTCAATGAGCATCATTGAAAATCTGCCTACTGGATGCTGGAAAGTAAACGATGTTGACATGGCACCCGCGTGGCTTAAGCAAAATACAAACGACATTCATTTGGCCAAAAAATTATCTCACGAATACTTGACTTGGAGTAAACGTGTCACATAAGTACAAGTTTGAGATTTTTTATGTCACAAGAAAAAGTTTAGAATAATTGTGTAGCGATGGGCATAGTTTGGGGTTTCTGACGTCACAAAAAAAAAGTTCAAGGTAAATATTACATTGGGCATAATTTGGGAGTTATTGCGGTTTTTTCCCCATATATAATTAATGATTTTTAAACTCCACAAAAATAAGGGAGGCATATAAAAAGGATGTGCTTACAGGATAAATGGGCCTCAGACAAAAAAGAGAGAGGATAAATGGGCTAAAAGCCTAGGCCCATTAAGGCATTAAGTGACCAAAACTAACCAGATGAACAATGTCAGATTTAGACACTGATCATGCACGATCATCTGGCTTAAAAACCCAGTTTCAGTTTCCTATATCACTCGTCAACAATATATTAAGTCACTAGACCCGTGTTAGTATGCATAGCCCACATAAAAAATGTATATTACCAAGGCAAATTGCCTTATAGTATTTATGTGTATTACGCTAATTAGCGCGTCACATGGTGCATGCGTTGCACGAAACAATTTCTCCACATTCGTGCTCTTAGGTACGACCGGTCATGGGCCGAATAAACCCAACTTTTTGCACCCGAGACAGAAATAACACGACCTTTCAAACATTTCCAAAAGAAAAAGAGCCCCAACGTTTTCCTCCTCGAATCAAAATGACAACTTTTCAAATGTCCTTGAAAAGCCAACATTCCACCCCGTGGGACAGAAATAGCTCGTCTTATGAATTCCGCCCACCGTTATCTCACCACGTGTCGTCATTCATGGGATACAGTGCCGACGTGTAAGTAAGCCACATTAGCCGGGACTCGCGACGATGTCATTTCACATGCACAATCCAAGAGTGCGATAACAAAGAGTGCAACTTACGAATAACATCATTCTTTGCATCAGATAACGTAGCTAACCGTGCATACCGGTACAGTGTGCCAAGTAGGATGAGGCGCAACGTCGAAATGGTGAGAACGTATTAATGTGTAATTTATATGTATTATGGGGTATTTATGTAATTATGTTTCTATATGTACCCTTTCTGTAATTAGTCTCTCCTATAAATACATATCATACAACCCTAATTAGGGTTGAGCCACCATAAACACTTTGGCGTTGTTTTCTCTCTGTCTCCAAACATCAACATGGTATCAGAGTAGGAAAACGAATCGAATTCTTCAACATCTCTACCCCAAATCAACACTTCCTTTGCTCCAATCACTATCTCAACAATGTCCAATACATCTCTAAATTTTTCTTCTTCTCTACCATCTCTTGACCGACCATCTTCTTTTTTTGTTAATCCCAATTTCCCATTGCCTCCCGATAATAGTGCGCCCACTTTCCCCTCTTCTTCCCTCTTCATTGCTGCTCCGATCTCTGCTGCTACTCAAATTACGGCTGTGCAATCATCCTCGTCGTCTCTTGTTCTTCCCAACATCACAAGTCTCGTCTCCATCAAACTCGATGCAAACAATTATCTTTTGTGGAAATCTCAGTTTGAATCTATTTTAATCTGTAACGATTTGCTGGGCTATGTGGATGGTTCTTTTCCATGTTCGCCGAAGCTTATCACTGATCAGACTGTCACTATAGTGGTTAATACTTCCTATTCCACCTGGGTAAAAGACAGATCAATGCGTTCGTAGTTTGATCAATTCGACCCTCACAGTCGAAATTTTCCGTGAAGTTCACGACCTTCGGACATATCGGGAGATTTGGCTCGCTCTAGGACAACGTTTTACTAATCGCTGCGCGGCCAAGGAAATTGGACTAAAATTGGATTTTCAGAATACTGTGAAGAAACCCGATCAATCAATGTCTGATTATCTCCAGCATCTGAAGTCAATTGCGGACTCTCTCACCGCAATCAATTGCTCTGTCTCTGACAAGGACTTGGTGATTCAAGCCCTCAATGGGCTCCCATCTGAGTATGATCCTTTTGTCACTATGGTCACAAACGGCCCTACAATTCTCTCGTTTGGTGATCTGCAGTCACGCCTCCTCATCCAAGAAGAATGATTTCTCAAAAAATCCAGTGCATCATCTTCATCTGATATTCATCATGCTTTGCTCGGTCATACCACTTCACCCAGTCCACCATTTCGAGGATCTCGAGGTGGACGTAATTCTAGAGGTCGTAGATCTGGTCGGGGACAAGGTGGACAATTCTCGCGTGATAAATCGAATTGGCAATCTTCCTATGATCGATTCGGTTCGCAATCATTATCGGCTCCCTATGCCTCATTTACCTCCTCTGGTCGGTCTCGTGGTGGTTCAAAGCCCTATGTTCCCCCTTTCACGTAGGGAGGTATTCTCGGATCTAGGCCTCATCCTACTTGTCAGATATGTAACGGAGTCGGGCACACCGCACTACAATGTCGACAACGATTCAACCATGCTTT